AAAGAAAAGGTTAATGTTGAGGATTGATTTTCAAGTTTCTTTTATTCAATTATGTAATATAACGTGACAAGAAATCTTCTTGTCACCTCCCATTTTTCTTGGTTGCTTGATACTATTTTGGTACCTCAAAAAGTCCTTCTGGTAAACTAATTTTCACTAAATTGATTTCTGGGCAGAACAAATTACTATTTGAAAATGAAACTCATCCATAAAACTTAAAAGCCGCGAAAAAATCAGTTTGAAAAAACGCAGGTTAAAAATTATTCTTACTACTTTAAAAGCCTGTTTTCGTAAAGTACTTGCAGAACAAAGTTCCTGTGAGTTAGGCTGCCACAACTAGAATATGTTTTTGGACTCAAAAAACGCTTATAAAAATGCTTACAAATTGCTTACTGATAAGATCATCATATCAACAGCGGATTTGAACTCATAATCTTATGAGTTATGAGTCAACTTCTTATTAACTGGACCAACTTTTATTGGCAGATTATGATTTTTTTTTTTTAACAAAATTTTTTAGACGAGTTGGGTCTTTGGACCAGGACATAGCTTCAGATTCTGCTTCAATGGATAGTTGCCGATTTTTCACTAATAATTAATTTTTAACAACTAGTTCGGAAGGTTACAAACGTGAGGGTCCTCGGAGGGCCCAATTGGCGTTTGAAGCATCCATCCTCGCTTGTAAATGGGCCTGAAGCGGATTATATTGCAGAGAAACGCATGTCATTCAGAGCTTTTTCTTGTGATTATTCAGTGGAGGAAAAAAAACTGGATGCCCCAAAAATCAGATAAAATATTTAAATATTATAGAAAAAAACACGCACAGGGCAGCGATTACCTTAATTTTATGGGGCAGATTAGGCGGGAATCATTCAGCTGTGACGGTTGGGTGTGCTCCTCTATAAATTAGAGACATTCTCGGGCCCAATTATTGAGCAAATAAAAGCCCAGTGTTTTGTTGATATGGGGTTTCGTTCCAGGCTTCTGAGGCCCGTGGCCATTTAGCATTTACGTTTGGGCTACAGATTTGTTGTTGGTAAGCGTAGACATCTTTTTATTAAAAACAATCTTATTTAAGGTATTTTTAATAAAGAACTAAGTATTGATGAAAGAAGAACACTTATTGGGTATTGATTAAGATGTTGAATTTTGGGGACAAAATTCCTTCAGAGAGGAGAAAATTATAACGTCCCAATTTTTTATGACTTAAAGATTGAATTATAAAATAGACAACAAGAAGGATATATCGAAATTGATGAGAAAAATTATATGTTGTAAAATTAATTTTTATACATTAATATATTACAAAAATGTAAATAAATATAAAGTAACATATCTTTCTAAATTAAATACTCCGTGTGCGTGTGGTATTATATTATTGGTACTACCCTAGCTTCGTTATATTTACTAGAAATGAGTTAAGTATCTATTGTTATTAGAGATAAATAATAATTAAAAATATTAAAAATTATCAAAGATCGGGGCTAGATAATTATGGAGCCACTTGGTAATTATCTAATCATATTTTAAATTTTAGTTTGGATAACTCTTAAAAGGAAATCATTTAAATTTTGTTTAATTTATGAAACAAACAAAATATGTAATTAAGATAAAATTATATCCTAATAATATGATAGTGAAACACTTAAACCTAGATCCTATCCTCCTTTTCACCTCCTCTCCTACATGCCGTCTCCACCCCTTATTTTTGTTTCTTGTTTGCTTGTATGATCATCAATTGTATTGATGGCTCATATTTCTTTTGCCCCTCAATCAAATATTGATTGCGACCCATATTCCTCTACAGCTAATAAACTCTTCTTCCTTCTTTTCTCATTCCATCCTGTATAATTAATCCCACCACTACTATCCTTCCCTTCTTCAGACTCATGTAAATCTTATGATAAAGTTTACTTGATCCAAGTACACTAACTTTCATATTTTAAAAGTTTAGCCGCACAATTTATATGTGTTATTGTAACTGAAAGCTAGACATGCGTGTATATGCATATGTTTGTGTGCGCGTACGCATATTCAAATGATCATTTTCTCTCCATCATGTCAAAACAAAACATGGCCTGTGAATGTTGATCTTTCTCTTTACATTTTCACGGAACAAACTCCTTTCATCACATCTTGTAAAGTAATTATCTTTATTTAACTTCAAGCCCCAATTAATGATTTCTTCTACAAGGTTACCATTAGGCTTTTCAAATGTGCTCCTTTATTTATTTGTAAAGCTTATAAACTGATCTCCTTAATAACATACGTATATAAATATATACATGGCATGATTTAGGTAGGAAGAACGATTTATACCTCATATAATTAATTTTAAAAAATAGTTATAATAAATTGATCATATGCTTATTTTGATTTCAAATGATATACACACACGAATCAAAGATTGCTTTGTTTATAAATTGAAATAAAAAAAAGAAACCCAAAAATTTATTCTAAGTGCTTCCATCTTTATGCATATGGCCAACTTCTAACAATATGTATGTAATACATAGATTTAAGCAAAGAAGATTTATAGAATTTACATTATGATAATATAACATATCCTGGACCTTCTAAAGTAACTTCAAAATATTAGGATAGCTTTAGGATAATCTTAAAATTATCTTAAGATTAATAGCTAGTAGTTTTGAGTTTTAAATTAATTTCTTTGTAAATACGTGACTTGTAGATTCTTATTGAGAGCCTCATTGTGTGAAATCAATTGTTTGACCGCTAAAGAGCTAAAGGAAACCAGGTAACTTGGGTTTTTTTTTTTATCTATGTGCAATCTTTATCTATGATTAAATTTATATTGACTGTAATAGATATATATAGCTCTATCGGCTTATTTGATACAAATAAATAAATAAGACTGAAAAGATGAAGGGATATAATTGTAGTATCTTCTATGTTATTTGAATTCTCCTTTAAGTATGAGTATGTTTTGGTTATTTTGTGAAGATGTTTAGTGATTTATTTCCTTTTAAACATGCTTGCATATGCTAGATCTGTTACATATTCATGACATGCATAGGGGGCTCGATTTGGGAGTTTATGATATTGATATATGATAAAATGTGACCACGTGGTTTGCCTCTACTTGGTGCAAAGTGGTTGGCCTTTTTAGGGCCCCGTTTCTTAATACTTCCTTGTCCAGGTTTGTAGAGGGGGAATGTGGGATAGTAACACCTCCTGGTTTTGCTGTTTAAGGAGGGGTGCCATCATTTAGGCTTGGGTTTTATACCTTTGACCGGGTACATCCCAAGTACTGGAGTAGCTCTGGTTGGTCCAGTATGTGGGCCAAACTGTGAATAATCCTATGGTTCCAGTTAGCAAAATAAGGTTAGACGGAGCAATAAAAGAAGAAGCATCCATTACACGTGAACATGATGTACTTGTGATTGTCATGAAATTAATTATATCATTTGCAAATGATTATTTAAGTTGCTTCATTAGTTGTTAATATCACTGATATTCATTACTTGTGTGTAAAGGTTTGTATGTGCATGATTAAACTCTAGGTTACTGAGACGTTAGTGTTCACCCTTTTAATTTAACATTTTCGAGAAAAGGTTCAAAATGAGGGAAGGCACTTGAGGAGTGAGTTTGAAGGCTCTGTTGTATTCTTCATGTGTGGTACATGTTTCCCCATTTATATTTAATTTTGCCATATCTCCAGGACATTTCTTTAACCTTAGTCTTAAAATAGTTTTATTTTTGCTTGTTAATAAGTATACATTTTTTAACCATGATAGACTTTTATCACTCTAGTTTTATCTTTTCTACCATGGTCAACTTTTATCAGTCAGGTTTCAAACTTTTCTATCATAATAGATGTCTTTTGAATTTGTCTTCCTTATAATTACACAACCTTAAGTCATTATAATCATTATGAAATAATGGTCACACATTGTCAGGTACTAAATATGAGCACTTCTCTCAACGTGAATTTGAATCTTAGTTCACTACATCGTAGGAAATTAATCCCTTCCGTTAGATCTAACCAACGTTAGTTATAGATTTTTTTTTGGTATAGAGGCTACAGATTTTTTTTTTATTTTGCGGTTACCCTCGGTGTCTCTCCCCCAATAAAAATTATTTAAGTCCGGGAAATTAAAATAAAGATAACTGGGAGAGGGAAGGAGAAAGAGAGGATAAGGAAACCTATATATTCTGGCCCAAAAACAGAAGCCTGTCATAGTGTAAAAATGTTTGAGTTGTTAAAATTTTACATGCAGGCATGAAATGATGTGGTGCTATGCATAAATTTCTCCCTTATCAATGCTATTCTTAATTAATACTACTTCTGGTCCTAATTATAAGACATCATTTATAATTTACAAATAAAATTTTATAATTAGAACTGAAAGTAATATAATTTTACATACAAGAATTTCTTTAAAATGTTGTGACCTATTGTATTCTAATTGATCAGAGCACAGATAAAGTGGTGCTCCGAACGCGTGTAAGAATTTCTCCATCATCAATGCTATTCCTTGTTTCTAAAATTTCACATGTCATGAACTGTTCAAATATATTATTAATATCATTTACTGAAGTTAAAAATCAGAACTTCAAAGCTTAACTTCACGCCACTCATACTGATATCACATAATACATTGTCAATCATAATTCTTAGTTTATAATATGTTTTTTTATTTCATTTATAACGAACTTTTTAAATATGTTATTGATAATAATTTATTAATTTTATCCATGAGACATTATACTGAAAATATTCATCTGCGAATCATGAAATTAAACTTAAAATTAAAATTCAATTTGAGATAATAAATACCAGATTTAAATAAAATATTTATAAAGTAAAATTTTAGGGATTAACATGGTCAATGAATATATTTTTTTATTGATTAAACTTGGACCAGTGTCAGAGGGAGACCAAATAAAATTATTGGCAAAAAAAAAAAAACTAAAATATCATCGGGTGCCCCATGTGCTGTAGTTTCAAAACTGGTAATTTCATTGGAAGTCCAGAGCCTAAGCTCGTGGGTCACGAGCTTTTCGAAATTGAAAGCTCATTGAAGAGCGTCAGCACCTACCATGTTCTGCTGCAACGCTATAGTTGGTACCTCGCCGAACCTCCAGTTCGTCAAACGACTCAAACCCCTCAGACCCTTCTCTGGATTGCTCTCCAAAGTCAAACCCAACTGTTCTTCCCATTCTTTCCGTTTCAGCATTCCCTTACCCGAAGCACCCACCAGGCTTTCTCGTCGGATTTTGACTCCCCTGTCGCCGGGCTCTATGCTTCACGACAATCCCGCCGTCTCTGACGTCTACGCCACGGCTATTTCCTTCGGCGTCGCTCTTTCCTTGCTTAGGTTATGGCAAGAGACCGCAAAGCGTGGGATCTTCGACCAGGTCTGATTTCTACCCTCATCTTTCAGCTTAGAATTCGCAATTAATCGTCTGTTTAGGTACTTAGTTGACTGTATAGTTCTCTATGTTCCCTTTAAGTAGTTGACTTTTCATGGGGGGTATTTTGCTGAGAATGCTTTGACCTCTACGTTTCACGGTTATAATTCTGGTTGAAGATGGACCAAGGATATTCTCGGGTCTTCTTATTCCTCACTCTCCTAATAGTCTTTGCTTTACATTTTGTTATATCTATGAACGAGAATCGAAGTGACGTGTAGGACTGAGATCCTTTGAATTACCGCGAATTTCATTCCTTGAAGAAGATATCAGGGATGGCGAGAGGCTTCTGTCATGGTCATGGTGATGCATAATGTGACACAGGACTGAACATGTTCCTAGCAGCGTCAAATTTTAACTTGAGCAGTAATTTATTATTACAGTTTATACTTAGTTGGAGTCTTGGAGATTTTCTGATTCATAATTAGGTTGTCATTTTCTTGTCACTGGAAGAGAAGCATCGATGGCGCTAATTTGTAACGAGAAATTTTTAGTTTTGACTCCATTTGTAATGTATTCTCCATTTCTGAAGTAATAACTAGTGCATTTCTTTTTCATTGTGGCGTTGTGCAAAATGCTATCTATCAAGGATAAAGTCAGGTGCATGGTTTTTCATATAATGTTTGACTTTGATGGTTGTTATCCAATCAGTGCTAATTTCCTCTATTTCTTAATACCTATCTTGTTCTATATTGCAGACTTCTCATCGGTTATTTCCTTTGTGTTCAGAAATTGAATAGGAAACTTGTACATATAAGCATTGGACTGGCATTCATGCTCTGCTGGCCACTATTCAGGTAAATTTATAGATACTGAGTATATTAAAATTTCAAAGCCCCACTTTTCCTTGTCAAATGTCCTTGCTTCTATTGTTACAGTTCGGGGAGTCAGGCACCACTTTTTGCTGCTTTCGTTCCAGGAGTCAATATAATTCGGATGCTTCTTATTGGACTTGGTATACAGAAAGATGAAGCCACTGTAAAATCAATGAGCCGATTTGGAGATTACAGGTTTCAGTGTTGTATACATTAATGCCAGTGAGACTATATATAAATCTTTAAAACTTGTAATAATTAGCCATTTTACTGTCAAATCAATCCAGCAGAATCTCTTGCTGTCAAGTGATCAAGCTGGTCAATTTAGGCCTGTCAGGAATGGATATGACGACCTTTTAGGCGGATTCTTATATTATTGCTCGCTTTAAATAAAAAAGAATTAGTAGGTTATGATTTTGATTAGCAGCTGCGTTACGCTTTTGGCTTGTGAGTTCTCTTAAAGTCTGTCTCTGTGGAGAATGAAAATAATATTTGTTGATACGCCTTGATCTATTCATTTCTCCGTTTTTCCTCTGCACCAGGGAGCTTCTGAAGGGACCGTTGTATTATGTCTCAACTATTACTTTTGCCTGTGCGATGTACTGGAGAACTTCCCCTTTATCCGTTGCTCTAATATGCAATCTGTGTGCAGGAGATGGTACTTTTGCTAGAGCCAATTATATTTTCTGTCCTCATGATTGTATCTTGCAATGTTTTAGCTGCGCTGGAAACTTGAATAAGGAAAGAGAAAGAAAAGAAAAAGGGTGGAGCAGACCGGACATTCTTTTCTTTTCTTTTCTTTTCTTTTCTCTGGACTCCTTCAATTCTATAAAATGGCGATGCCTGGCATAATTCTTAACATGTTGTTCAGGTATGGCTGACATTGTTGGGAGGCGGTTTGGCAGTAAGAAGATACCCTACAACGGAAACAAGTCGTTGGCCGGTTCAATTGCAATGGCATCTTCTGGATTCTTAGCATCTATTGGGTAACTTTTGCAGACATATGTTGCTCTCTTTACTTTCCTCTCAACTGAAAACCTGCTTGGTCTGTCTTCATATTAATAATTGAAGTTTTGACAGGTATATGTACTATTTTTCCTCATTCGGATATATTGAGCAGAGCTGGAGAATGATTCTAGGTTTTTTGATTGTGTCTATCGCGACTACAGTGGTTGAGTCCCTTCCTATTAGCTCAGAGATTGATGACAACCTCACAGTTCCTCTCACTTCCATATTGGTGGGAAGTATGATCTTCTGATTTCTTGCATATTGTAGTGATGAAGTTAGATAATCTTAGGCATTAGTCCTCTCCATATCTAGCTCTAGTTAGATGTCATATGGCAGTCTCTGCATTATTTAGTAGCTTGTCTTGGCTAGATGTTGTAACTTAAATCAGATTGGTGCTTGTATGTGATTTCACCATCAATAATATCATCTCGACAGGGCCTTTGCAGTCCACTGTTCTATGGTAAATTGAATCTCTTGACGGTTGTTCTTGTTATGTTTCTTGCGTTTATGGTTTTCCAAAGCTTCACCAACGGTGGGTTTTATTGGAATGCATTACGAATAATGCTAGCGTGATTAATGGAAGTTCCAGATGAAGGACAGTGGTTCCCATGGACTAATACTTGCAAAGGAATTGATGAAGTTAGGGAAGGGATAGATGGAGCCCTAATTAATTATGAGTGGCTAATGAATTTTCCAGATTCCAGAATGACTTCTACCTATTGCTGCTTTGGATCATGCCCTCATCTTATTTCCCACCAGTATTCGGAGACAAAAACAGCCCGCCGCGACGATGAGTTTTTTTTTGGAGAGATTTTCTACGAGTATTATTTAAGGACGCTGTGATGCATTCTTGAGGTCATCATTTCCAGTTCTTCTGCTTTTTCAACTTTGCTCTCTAAATTAAAGATTACTACTTTGCAATATCTCCTTTCCTGTAGTGATTGTTCAACAGGACAGGTCCCTGCTAAAATTAAGGTGTTGAGGGGCCAATTAAATGCTGTACAATCTCTCAGATATCAATTGGAATTGCCACATCACTTTGCACATGAACATAATAGTGTTGCCTGTAAATTTTGTATAAATATTTGGATTTGAAATTTATATATAAAATCCCACAAAAGAAAGTGCAAAAGCGTACATAAAATTTATCAAAGAGTACCTAGCAATCCAATGGCTAAGAGGTAAATATACAATGATGTGATCCTTTGTGCGATTTAATGAACTAGCTGCACTTGTTGCTTTTTGGAGCTTTATGAGAAGGGACCCGCGGGACACAACAATGATAACCACAAATTACCGATATGGGTTAGATGCAGAGGACGCGGAAATTAAAGCCCATCACATCTATTCTCATCTCCAACTGCCAAATTGTCCACCATGAATCTCAAGTCTCGGCCAACAATCTGCCCCGAGAAACACAGAAAGAATACTTTCTTACAATGGAAACTTCACACTAATAACTTCGCTACTACTGTTAGATATGAAACTCGTTTGTGTCTGAGTGAGATTCTCTTCAACTCTGTGTGTTGAAGGAGTTCTGGAATCTTCATCTTCTTCGTGTGCTTCTGGTTCAGAAGTGGCAGCAGCAGAGGAAGAAGCAGAACGAGAACGCTTCAAGCAAGGGATGATGATGATGAAGACAATGAAGAGAAAGAAGACGAGGACGACAGTGAGCAGAGTGATTAAGCCGTGAAGAGCGAAGTGGTTGTCGCGAGAGAACTGAATCTCGCCCTCTTGATGCTGAGGACTGAGGGAGGGAGCCGACATGGCAGAGCCTGGACCAGAAACGGTGGCGCCATTAATTCTGGGCTGCCTTCATATCCTTATATGCATGTTCACTTCTTCAAGTTTGAAACTTTGACTTTTCTTGATGCCCCAGGACGTCGGTCTCTTTTCCTTCATCCCTTTACTTTCGCTTAGTTGGCAAGTAAAAGGTCATTTGTCTTTTTATCCATTCTTGCCTTAGCTTCATTTAAAAAGGAAGGGAAAATTAATTTTATTGTAATTTAATAACTAAATTTTAACTTAATACAACTCAATTTATTAATCATTTAGAGTTTTCTATATTTTAGAAAATAAAATTTTTATTTTTCATGAAATTTAACAGCCAAAGTCTTAGATGCTTGAAACTATAAGACTAAGTCACAGTGAATTAAAATTTAGGAATCAAATTTAAATTGAGTCAAAATTATAAGAACTTGGGTCTATTGATTCAAAATTTAACAAGCGGGAATGGGTTACGATTAAATCAAGACAATAGGATCAAAAGACTAATTTTTTTTAAATCTTGATATCCGATAAAATTTGAAGAGCATTATATCTTTTTATCACCTCAACATGTTATAGGAAGCTAGTATGATGACTTTGTGGGTGTTGCTTTCCCACGTACACTGTTGATATAATAGGATAGGCTTTTTATTTTCACCTGAAATATAACAAGACAGGTTGAAATCTTGTATTTTCCACCAATTTAAGTTTTTATGTTTTATCTATTTTTTTTAATCTGTATCAAAGATGTTTATTATTTGTTAAAGCTGAGAGGGAATATCCGATCTATATCAACATGTTGTTATCGGTGTGCGGTCGCCATTGGAATATGGACGAGGCGGGGCATCTTATTTTGTTTTCTCTGCTTTGTCTCATTTTGTCGTGTTCCAGTCTTCCAACATTTTTTTTTTATTGCTCTTACGAGTGTTGCATTGCATATATGGAGAATAAATTTAAAAAGTAGTTTCCATTATATGCATGTCAAGTGTTGAACAATTAAAGGGTGTTTAATTTACAATAAAAATAATTTTACTCTTATTATATATTTACTTCGTATACTGTAAAATCACTTTTAATTATAATTTGGCTTTTATCTAAAGGATATAAATGCAATTAAGATACATAAAAAAATTTAATGCAATTTACTTAGCTTATCTTCCAAGAATCAAGTTATTAATTTTGTGTATATATATAACATCTTAAATAAAAATAGATTTACATGTTTACATTCAATAAACAATGATCGGAACTCTTAACAACAGCAAAATTAAATGAAAGGGACTCGAATATCTCTTAAATGATACGATAAAGGTGCATCCAACAACCCCTCCTTTTTTTTCCCCTCACATGCATATATCTTTTTTATAGTGTATTTAACACTTAATCCTTTTTTTTTACTGTATTCTGCACCTGAATTTTATTTTTAGTATATTTAGTATCTTAAAAATTAGGGTATCAAATGTAACTAAAAAATAGGATCTGGATGCTGGATACATTACAAAAAATAAGATCATGATAGTAGATGTATCATTAAAAAAATAGAATGTTAGGTGCACTTTTATTATTTTGGATATTAATTTCTGTGAGTGAAAAAGAAAACCATAATATAAAAATATCCCAGCCTTATAATATTGCTTCAATTGAAATTAAATGATGTTATTACTCCCTCCGTTCCTTATTATAAGAGACATTTGATGCTTATGACATGTTCCTATATATAAGAGACACTTACAAGTTGTCTCTACTTTTTTGTGTTGATTTACTATTTTACCCATATTTATTGTCTCCAATTCACACTCTCTCCCTCTCACTTCTCTTTCTTTTAATAATTTAATTGTTCTCTCTCATACTCTCTCTCCTTATTAATGAGGGCATTTTTAGAAAAAAAATTATACTTTTTACACATTAATTGTTTTAAACTAATTTTAACTGTTTTTTTGATCAACGTACTTCGGTTATTTGTCTCTTATAATAAGAAACGGAGGGAGTATTTAATACCAGATGTTTATCACACAAAGGAATGTAGTATCCCGCCAACGTCAAGCGGTTGAAGGACAAAAATGGCAGGTCAATATTTTTCTCCCATGGGACAATGAGTTGTTTAGGCAATTATGTAGAGGGCATCAGTGGAACATCGGGGGCTCCGTCTCTTGTCTCTTGACAATTACTTGTCAACCGCCGAATTTCCATCCATGGGTTTTACCTTATATATATATATATATAAAGATTTAATTGTTTAATTTCGTTTGATTAACTCACTGATTTAATGAGTTAATTAACCTGAACCAAAGTTATTTTTCATGATTTAAAGACCCAGTGCTATTAAGATACATTATTTATAAATCACATATAATGATCTATGAATCAAGCTTTGTTCAAGGTTAACATTTTTCGGCGTTAAAAAATAGTGACTGAGTTGTGAAAATTTTGTGAGTGGGTTCTTGGTAAGGGCATTTTGGGTGGATCGAACTATCGCATGAAAGGCCCAGCTCATCTAATCCCATGCAAATATTAAAGATATTTACGTGAATGGTGTGGTTTCTAAATAAAAATACACCTGGGTATATGTATAAATTTTATGTATTTTTAGGCAATGAATTTTGTTATAGGGAATTTTTTTAATAAATTTTTTTATTTATGGACATTAAACTCAAAATGAAACGCACAGATTACTCCCTACATATTTTTTTCAATGAACTAATATCTTAAGATTTATTTATTTATTTATTTTTTTGAATCGTGACTACGGATACACATTTTACAATTTACTTTAAGAAAATAATTAGGGGTCAGCTGATTCAGCCAGTTAGCCCATCTTTAGCAGTTTGGGCTGCAAAATTCTTGACCGCAACAACGTGCGTGGGCTTGCTCGGCTTTTATATGCGTATATGCGTGGGCTTAGCTGGCATTTGCACCTTTAGAATAATAAGCCATGTGTTGATGTGACTGAAATAGATTTTAAGAGCCCCTAAGGTGAAGAAACGTGCTTCCTAAGCAGTCAGATTAGGAGTCGTTCTAACTCAACTAAAAATTCATAGTTTTGATTCACGGATTAGTATGGTTTGTAATTCTTAAAGGAGTTGGTCAGAATACTGGATGCGCATACACACAAAAAAAAAAAATCCTTCCCCGACAAGAAACAAAAATAAAATGACAATGTCAAAGCGAAAAGAATCAATAAGGGTTATGTTTAACAAATATGATTAATCCCTCGTAACATAATAAGTTAATATTCAAATTCTTATTAAAAAAAGTATCTATATTTAGTACCTTAAAACACTAATCACAAGTAATATTCAACTTGGATACTTTAATGAGAAGTACTCATATTCAATATGTGTCTTAAACCGCTAGTCTTTTTTTTTTTTGCCAACCTTAAAACGCTAATCATTATTTGTTACGTTAACTCCATTTTTCATACTGGCGTACCAAACTTTCAATGAGAGGGGTGAATCAGATCAAAAAAAAAAAAATGAGAGGGGTGAAAAAAAAAAAGGGGGGCCCACGTATCATCGTTTTATGTAACCATGGAAGTGTTTACCCTACAAACATAACCTTGGATATTTCCCACTACGCCGTCGTTTTGACGGAGTTTGATGAAATCGGCATTGTCGTTGATCCGTTTCATTGTTTTCCCCGGGATCAATAAACGAATTCGGCTTGTGGTATTGCAGTCTCGAGCAGAAGTGGGATTTTGAATCATAGAACGATCATTGCCTCTTCTTCCTATCCTCTGGCTTTTTGTAGTGAAGCCCATTCCGAAAGGTGTAAAATTTTGCCTGATCTCTAAACAGACAGCGGATTCTTTTTCTCCTTGTTCCGATCTTTCCTTCTTTTTTGCCCCCTTCAATTTTTTATTCTCCTTTCAGTCTTCGACTCCTTCATTACACAATTAATCTTCGTTTGAATCCTGTCTCTCTCCTGAAATACCCGTATCTTGAAAATTTGTAGCTTCTAGCCGGCTCTAGCTCGCAAACTGGTTGTGATTTTCTCTGTTAATGAGTCATCGGTATTCTGGAAATGTTTTATTGCAGCTTAAATTTATAACTCTGCGGTGATGGCCCTTGTTTATTTTGAAACGAAAATGAATAGCTTTTTCCAGTTCTGTGCGCCCCATTGAAGAATTATGGCATTTCTGCCCAAATAAACCTGCTGCAGGCTGATCAAAATATTTTTTTTTCCTGTTCTTTATAATGTTAAACTGGATATCGAAAAGGTGCCTCATGTATAACTCGAATGCAACCCATATTGTAGTTTGGTCGGGCAGGTTAAAAGTAGGTATTATCAGTACCGGGTATTAGTTGCGTTGAGCTACTGAATAGAAATTCATATGAAACTGGAATTTGTTAGATGGTCATCCTAACTTTCTGTGTTTAGACAAGAGAAAAGATAAAGAAGTTGGCTGATAAAGGAGACAAACTTGACAAAAACGGGCAACTATATACCTTTCTTTCTTGTTGATATACATAAATTTTTATTTTATGGTCCAGCTTTTCTTTGTTGTCAGTTTTGAGATGCATGTTACAATATCAGTGGAAGTAGTTCATGCAGATGTTTGTGTTACTTTCTATGTGTTGTATTTTGTTAGCGATACATTATTATCCTCTTTTCTTTATTAAAATGTCATTTGCGATTGAATAATATTCTCGTGTTTATTTACTGACTTTCACAGGTCGTGGCCGTCTTTTGGGGGCCAAGAAGTATCTTTGGTCACAGACTCATGTCACTTCCTAATGAAGAAAACACATCACATTCACAGGTCTGCACCTCAATTTTGAATCGACAACATGTTTCTGCGTTCCGGGCAGTAGTTTAGAAAATGAGATTCCAACGCAAGCTTCTACTTCCTAACATATTTCACATGCTGGCTGAATTTTGTTGCAAATCATTTCACCGAAACTCTCAGTAGCTTGTTCGGGATTTTGCTGATGCATGACAATGAGATTATGAGAATTCACTTTTGGCTGAAATTATTAATGGGATTCATTGGTCGCTACTAGTGATACATTTATGAATTTATGATTGATTTTCACTTTTTTTTTTTGGCTTTAACTTAACTGCTGAATTGGTGACACACAAAATACATGAATAATGGCTCCTTTCCCTTAAGCTCTGTTATGGAGAGAGAGATAATAGTTTCAAACACCAGGCCATGGGTTGCAGAGGTTAGCAATGATCTAATGGAGAAATAGAGGAACTCAACTCACCGGACTGTTTCTCCATTTGGACTGTGGGATATGGCTTTAGCTGTTACGAGGTGGTGAAGTTGCGCTATTGTAACACAATCTGCTTAATTATGCTGTCATTTTGAAATATATCTGTTAAATTTCCCTTCTAGAATGAAGGCTCCAATGAGGAAGATAAAATGCTGATCATCATACTTATTATATTTATAATCGTTCCATCGTACTTGAAATCATTTCTGGCACTGTTTGAACTTTCGTAGCTTATCCTGGGCTTGTCTGATGGTGGTGGTGGTAGTCTTCAACGATATTCTATATTTCCCATGCGTAGAAGCCCTTGATGAGGTGGAACATCAAATTTCTTATATGTATGGAATTCAAACCTGAGCATCCAATTAATGGGGGAAAAAATCGAGCATCCAATGGCTATATACGAAACATTCTTGTATAATGGTATTGTATCTTTGGTATTTCTCTGGTGAAATGGGGTTATGTGATGCTTGCAGCCCTAGGCCTTGAGCTTGCAGGCGGCAGCAGTTAGACGGAAGAAATAATACTCCCACGCCCATTACTCCTGCTTTTTTCCCTCCTCCAGCTTAAACGAATGAATAATGACTTTGGATAATACTCTAGCTTTGTTGTTGTAATGCATAATAACACCAATACGCAAAAACCTGGAGTAACCAGTTTTGTATGCGTGGATAGAAACTTTATAGATGGTCAAATTCATTTTAAGCTTGTACCTTGTATACTTACTTGCATGTGTTGAAATTCCCTGCAGCTCGCATCCCATTTTTTCTGGGATATCCTAGATTCCATCATTGTTGATGTGGCATCTGAGTATCACAGAATAGCAAGGCTGGGTCTTGATCATAATCTAGAAGAGGAGGAAGAAGAAATGAAGTTGTCAGCACAAGCCAGAGCCCGGGTTGCTGATTCTAGTAACAATAACGAAATAAATGGAAAGTATGTGGTTGACATATTTGGACAAACCCATCCTTCAGTTGCCAGTGAAGTATTTGAGTGCATGAATTGTGGTCGGTCTATCGCTGCTGGGAGGTTTGCTCCTCATTTGGAGAAATGCATGGGAAAGGTATCTTGCTTCCACACAATTGTATACGGCATTCATTCATTATTGAATTATGAGTTTCGTATCATAATCCCTAGGGATTGCATTTCATTGTATATGATTGAGCCTTGTTTTCCCACACTTGTTATCTGTTTCAGCATTTTGGTGTTCTTTGTATGTTTCTTTTCTCCCATCATTGATCTCTATTTTTCATCTTTACCTCAGGGCAGGAAAGCTCGTCCAAAAGTAACAAGAAGTAGCACAGCACAGAGCCGGCATTCGCGAGGCAATCAAGCTCCAACATATTCCCCTTACTCAAGTTCCTCTGGTGCGAATCGGCTAGCGAATGGAAACTCTGGTGTTGCAGGTGAGGAGCACTCAAATGGGACGTTTGAACCATGATGCATAGAAAAACAGTGCGGTACAATAGTTGGCAGATTAACGCCAAGGATGGTTGCAATCCATGCACAACATGGTCTGTCGAGGCTTTGCCCAAGCCTGAACCTGTTTTATTGGGAGGTATAGTCATGTCATGGTTTATGCTGACATTCTGGAGTTTGAGAATGAGGATCGTACATGTCCATGGCAATGTCCAACTTTACAGAGACTGATAATTCGCGTTTGCAACAGATAAAAGAATGAAGTTTGACAGCTATGGATTTTGTCCCCCCCCCCCCCACAAAAAAAAAACATTAAGTTATACATTTACTAAACCTAAAATGAGATTGATTCCCCTTGATAGAAATTCACTGGGGCTTGATACCACTTTAATCTAGAGTGAAATCATATTTTCCATTTCAAAGCTTCGCTTTTGAGTTCGATTCTGTGGGCTGATTAAATGCGCAAACACGAGTTATTATTTGCACATTCGGAAGTCCTCCAGCATTGATGGAGACGCCCCACTTTGTAATTTTGCCACTTAATAGTTTCTCGCCCAAAAAGAGCACCAGAAGGACAGTAAAAAGATTATTAGACCTCAAATTCTACAGTTGAAATTAGAATTAGAATTATTTTGAAGGCCCGCGAGGCTGAGGGAAGCCATTAAAAGTATAGCAGAGGAGTAAAATACTACAGCTCAAGATGTTGAGGAGTGCGCCATTTTGTTGTCGTCTCCTTCGACTTTCGAGGGCGAACTCGATCCTGCTGCACACTTCGTCTTTCCTAATTGTTAGGGGGGTCGAAGTTCAAAACGATAGCAAAAGAGCTTCCGTTGCCGGGAATCGAACCCGGGTCTTTCGGGTGAGAGCCGAATATCCTAACCGACTAGACTACAACGGAATTGTTGAGGGTGGGATGCTAACAAAACAATATAATATATTGAAGATACGTAAGGGAGAACACAGAACCGCCGAAATATTGGAATACAACGGCTTTAGGTTCAATTGCTCTTATATCTTGCTTTATCTTCCACCATGGTTCCATTATTTGCAATGGAGAGAAACAGTCACATGCCCAGATCACAATGATCTATCTGGCTCCTCTCTCTCTCTCTGCGGCGCTTTCATCATCACCAATCACCATGATAATACCATTCTCCTTATTAATTTTCCTCCCTTGCGTTTACAATTTTTTAAAAATAATTTTGAATCATATAATTATTATAAATTTTACAATTCGTTTCTTGCCAGAGCATTGATTTATGCATTTAAAGTATACTTTTATGGGACTCGTATTATGTAAAGCATATTGTAGCAAAATTCTCGGAGAAAAAAAATAATAGAATGTAAATTATGTTCATACCTGTTAATAATTTACTGGTTGTTATGATGAACTTTGATTTAGAAGCTGCTTTTCCCCAAAACGAAAGGGAAGCCCCATGACCAAATAATAGATGGTCCTTTCTCTATTTTTGGACAAGTAGACTTTTATATGACCCACGTGTCTTTTTCATTTACGTTCCAGTCCCATTTCAAACAACGTGGCCTGATTTCTCTGTTGACTCCCAAATATCTGCAAATCTAAGCGCATCATCACCATGTTGAGTGGGACCCACTTCCCGACCCGCCGAAAGAAAAGGCAAGATCACCAACTGGTAATAATGGCACATTATGTCTAGAGTTGAGAATCAAGACCGGCCCTTTTAGAGCTGAAATTTTAAAAATACTCTAATTTATAGGCCCGGCCCTTGCTATAGAGTAGGGCCAGCCTGCAGGTTTTTGGCCCGTTTAAGAAAAAAATACTATTTTTATATTTATCATATTTTTTTAAAAATATAAAAATAAACCAATAAAATTATTAATAAAAGATATAAATATGAATAAAATTAAGTTACAAATATAAAATATCATCATATATAAATATTCATCAACATCTAAGAACATTAACACATTCATTAATAAGATAACAACATCTAAAAGTTTTATCTATAATGCAATTGTACAATAAATAAACACTATCATTAATCTTTTAAAACTTCATCATTACTATAATTAATTACTTTTCTTCATAAGTATGCTTTTCTTTCGTAACAAAAATATCAAGTTTTTTTCTTTATAAGAATTTTATTTTTAAATTTTACAATATAACTATTATTTTACTTTAATGTGAGAAACATTGTTGTTGAAACTCATGAATTTCTAATTCAAATTATAGAATCACAAGTTATATAAGTATAAAAATATTATATTATCAAATATATATATATAGTTTAAAAATATCAACGCATATAATATAAATCAAATCATTATTAAATTCCAAATTAACCCATTTTTAAAAAATTTTAATTGGATAAATTATTGTCTAAAACTAAATTTAATTTTAAAATGATAATAATAACTAAATATTTGAAATATTATTAACAATGTAAAAAATTAATAACATTAATATTATATAAAAAATTTTAAAAATAAAAAAATTATAAGAAGGCTTAAAAGGGCCGGCCCTTTTAAGCCCTCGGCCCTCCAGGGCTTATTTCTATTTTAAGAGAAAAATATCAAGCCCGGCCCTCATAATTTCAAGGCTTAGATGGGCTCGGCCTGTTTTTCCGCTCTACATGTCGAGACTGTGGGACACAAATGAAATGAGTTAAATTGAATAAACATTATATAGAAAGAATTGCCAAAATAAAAAAAAATTTAGTAAAAAATTTATATTATAATACTAATATCAGTACTTTTTTGGTATAAAAATTTATGAAGCCCTTGTCACTGATAAAATTTTGTGATAGATATGTCTTTATGGGTTATGCTTCATAAAAATATCGGTCAGGGAAGTAATGTAGAAGAAGGCATGTCTATTTTGGGGAAAAAAAGCAAATATATATAAGTCAGTATAAAAAAAAGTGCAGAGAAATTATAATTGTGGGGCAATGTGCTCTCTCTCTTAGCCTTTTTAAAAGGTGGCATGATATATTATCGTGTGTGCGTATATATATTGTGGTGAATTGCAAACGATGGCATGCCACTAATGAAAAGGGACAAGTATGACTAGGAAAAAAAAAATAAATAAAGTGAGGACAGTGATATGAATGATGATGGAGGACAACATAATGGTGGCAAAGAAAATTAAAGGCAAAGGCACAAGCGAATGAGAGTCCACAATTCAATTGTACGCGTGGGGGTTCATGATTACTTCTTGTGTGCCAGTGGACGTTCTGATCTTCCCACTCTTGTTTTGTTCTTCATTTCCGTCTTTCTCACGTGCCATCGTTTTTTTTCCTCCCCAGTTTGACTCAATTCGCAACGTACCATTCCATAAGTGTTTTGCGGATGGTTTTTTTTTTTCCTGAAAAAGTTTAAAGCATATACTACTTTGGATCCTAATTGTAATATTTCATTTGTAAATTAAAAAAAATTTATAATTAAGATTGGAGGTAATAATCAATATGTTCAAGATAATTATGTATTTACAAAATACCATATCAATTCATCATATTTCATCAGAGCCCAAAATGTGATACAGTTTCGAATGATGAACTGGTCCAATAAGATTTTATTTTTGAACAAAAATTCAGGTAAAAAGTTTTTGCTGCACTGGTGCCTGAACCTTTTCTTTTCTTTCTTTTTTTTTCATCTGGAAAAATAATTCACGAGTCTTGTTAAGAAGAAAAAGTTTTGTGACTTACGTAGTATATGGTTTTATTAGTAATATCAAATCACAAATCTCTCGCGGATGAGAAGCAATGAGCCACCAGTGACAGGAAGAGAGAGATAATTTAATAAAAAATATATATAAGACCTAATTGTTGAGTTAATTTTGATAATAAATATAAGATCTATTTCTATATTTATCAATTTTTTTGAAATTACCCCTATAGATATTCCCTCAACTATAATCAAGTAGAAGAGGGAGGGGGATATTAAGAAAGATGATTATGGTGTTTTAGAAAAAACATGTCATATTTTTTATAATTAATTAACTTATTTAATTTTTCTAATCTAATCAAATTAGTTAAATATGTCTTATACTAAGAACAGAAAGAATATAGAAAATTGGATTTCCCAAGAGATATTTATTTTAAATAAATACTATGGTAAGGTGTAAATCACAAAATGAAGAAGGTTTAATTTTAAGGTCTCTCATAAACTGATGACAAGATTATGAAATCAAAACAGAATGATCTGTCAAGACAAGATCTTGGAGAACAAGGAACTTCACATCAAACACACACATTTTTTTAAAGAGAGAATACACATGAAGTCTCTCAGGAATATTCTTATGAGACCCGGATACCCACTGATTAAGAATATTCGCCCCTGTCAAAACCCAGAATCTTCCAGGTGGGCAGCTCATATTTTTACGATGTCAATGAAAAGGCTCGACTTTTAATCAAGGGTAACATTACTTGTACAGTGACTAAAACTAATTTTATACGGATTATTATTTGTCAATATTTGCTCATTATTTATTGAATCATCTGTCATCATTCTATCATTATTACCTAAACTAATTATAGATAATTACAGCATTAAACATTAAATTTCTATCCACATTTTATCTCATTTTTATTATTTAAGTTATTTGTATTTGGTTGTATGTCCCATTTATTGATACAATAATGACAAGAATTCACTCTAAGTTTTATCTGTTCAATCCATAAAACTTAATTAATTTACAGGATAATTATGATGAAGTTTATGAAGCTAACTTCTTAACTTTCTTTAGTACGGTTATGTGTGATGGGATCAAACACAGGGACCTTTTTTTTTTTTTAAATAATAATTAGATTCATTCTACGAATGAGGTATTTTTGTACTGACTCTTCGTCCATATGAGTAGCCATGCACTTAGGCATAAGAGTCAATGAACCTGGTCATTAATCAATTATAGAAAAAGTTCAATTGGCTAAAGGGATTAATTAAGCTTTCACTTTCGAATCTTCCAATAAAAACATCATAATTAAAAAACTATTGTGCACCTCAACAGACTTTGGAGTACTGATGTCATCAATAAATTCCGAACGGGGATATCATCACTAATAAGTTCTGACCGGGACATCATCCCTCAATCCTGCGAGGGTTAATTATTACTTTTCTGGTTTTTAATATAGGATCTACTTATTAAGTTGATTTTAGTCATAAATATAAGACTTATTTATCATATTTATCAATTTTTTCTAAATTACTCATGTGGATACTCCCTCAATCATAATCAAGTAGAAGAGAGAGAGATGATATTAAGGAAGATGATTATGATGGTTTAGGAAAAACATGTCATATTTATTATAATTACTAATTTATCTAACTTTCTTAATCTAATCAAATTGGTTAAACATGTCTTATATTAAGGATCAGAAGAGTATTATTGTTGTTGTTATTATTATTATTATTATTATTATTATTAGTTTTGCGAGCACCTAAAAAAGCTAATTAAAGTCGATTGTACTCTTCTTATTTATAACTCACCTTTAACTTATTCATGTAAACTAAATAAATTACTCAAAATTAGCTTATGTTCTTAAAATAAACTAAATCTTTTAAAAAATACTTATAAATTAGTATTGACTACCAAGGTTCTTATACTAATAGCTATATTTTGATTATGTTAGGAGAGTTTAAATATTTGATTACGACCCAAACCTTACTCTATTCTTAATACGAGTATTATTTAAGTTAAGCCCAAATGGCTGCGGCTCATGGCCTTATAAATAATAAATAATAATTTTATAGTTTTAATTTAGGATAAATTTTATTATAATTAATTTAAAGTTTACGTCCAAAGTGATAAGTCTCGGATATGGACGATTCATTCTCATTCTCACACAACATTCCCAACGTCTTCCTCTCTCTCTCACCCCCGCCTTTCTCCCCGGCCCCTTCCCCAGTTCCACCTCCTCTTTCCCGATCCGCTGCATATAAAACGATCATCGTCATCATGAACTCTTTGCGAATCCCTTCTTCTGTTACTCCTCAATGGTGGTTTAACTATCTTTCTCTCTGCATTTTCTGTGCCTCTGGCCTCAAGCTTTCTTCTATCTATATATCCCAATTATTATACGTTACCTTCTTCCATTTTCCTTCACTTCTCTCTTCTCTTGATGGAGTTCATAATTCGAAACTACGATGGGCAATCTGACAAAGCTGAAGTGGAAGATATCGAGAGAAGATGCGCGGTAGGCCCAGCGGAAAGTGTGTTCCTCTTCACGGACACTATGGATGACCCCATCTGCAGGATTCGAAACAGTCCCATGCACAACGTGCTGGTATAACTATTTACATTATCATCAATTAATGTCTTAATTTCTATCGTTTTCCTCTCGTCTTCATTCTTTGATCAATATATCATATTATGCTTAATTACCACCTATTTGATGGCAGGTCGCAGAGATGGACAAGGAGTTAATTGGGGTCATTCAAGGCTCTGTAAAAGTGGTTACACTTCCAACTCATGAGTTGGCCAAGGTGGGCTATGTGCTGGGGCTTAGGGTGGCTCCAAGTCATCGGCGAAAAGGGGTGGGATCGAGCCTACTACGAAGGTTAGAAGAATGGTTCTGTTCCAACGACGTGGACTTTGCATATATGGCCACAATGAAAGACAACCATGCTTCTATCAGCTTCTTCATGGGCAAGTTTGGTTACACCAAGTTTAGAACTCCGTCTATTCTTGTAAACCCAGTGAACCGTCATCCCTTGAGGATCTCATCCAACATTGAGATTGTCAGGCTCAAGGTTGATCAAGCTGAATCACTTTATAGAAAGTTCATGGGACCTTCTGAGTTCTTTCCTGATGACATAGACTGCATACTGAGGAACAAGCTAAGTCTGGGGACCTGGGTTGCTTATTTTAAAGGAGATAGTTCATGGGATGATTTTGGAAACGACGGTCGAGTTCCTAGTAACTGGGCTATGCTTAGTCTGTGGAATAGTGGGAAAATCTTTAATCTGAAGTTACAGAAAGCAACTTTTTCTTGCTTGTTATGCAGAAAGAGTCAGGGTTTGATTGATAAGGTGTTTCCATGCCTGAAGCGCCCTACTTTGCCTGATTTCTCGAACCCATTTGGGTTTTACTTTATGTATGGGTTGTGTCATGATGGGCCACTGTCTGGGAAGCTTGTGAGAGGGCTGTGCAAGTTTGTGCACAACATGGCTGCAGAGGCTGAGGATTGCGAGAAAATCAAGATTGTTGTGACTGAAGTTGGTGGAAGAGATAAGATCGAGCATCATATCCCACATTGGAAATTGCTGTCTTGCCAGGAGGACTTGTGGTGCATAAAGGCCTTGAAAAACGATGGAGCAAACAAGTCTCTTGAATCGGCCAAAATCCCACCAACAAGCGCTCTCTTTGTTGATCCAAGGGAGGTTTAAACCTAAAAAATAATATTCCTCCGATCCTAAATACAAGATTCTTTTTGTAGTGTAATTTACATTATAAAAGAGGTCTTATATTTAAGATCGGAAGAATACTACCCAATAACTGCACAATGTCTGAGAAACATATGCATATCAACCAGATCTTACCTGTGTTTATCTCAATGAGTTATATGCAGTCTCGTTTATGATATTCTCTATCTACTCTCAAAGTAAAGTTTTTAACCTGCCAATTTAAAGATCGGAAATATGATGGGTCATATATTTTGAAAGGTGAATTTTTGTTAACAAAAAAGGATAACTTGTGGTGCATAAATGCCTATTTGACATATGATTTAGAAAATGTGCCCGTACTGTATCCCCCCCCCCAAACAAATAGCATATAAATTTAATCTAAACAATTAAGACATTATTATTTTTTATAAGAAAATACTATTCTAGGTCCTTATATTAGGGGATGATTCCACCATAAAATATATTAGGACATTCTTCAAAATAAAAATAAATTAATAGAATATGTATTGTTTAGTTTAATTTAAATCATGATATTAACCACATAATATATGGCATATATATCCGTTTAACCGGACGTGGGTCATAAGTAGGGTTAAGGTGCGCCCAGCATCCCAAGCTATTTACTCAGATGCTTCCAGTGGCTTAAAGTAATTTTGGGTGCATCTAGTGTCCTAAACTAATTAAAATGGTGCGTCCATATCTCAGGCTAACAGAAATGTTATGTTTAACCGTTACTTTCTCGACTAAGCTTAAAGTTGACCCCAGACATTCTATATAGTAGACACATGGACACCCGATGTGTATTATTCTTACTCAAAAGTCAATTTATTTAGAAGAAGAGGAAGGAAATAAATTCAATTTTGAGTAAGAATGATATACATCAAATGTCCATATGTCTACCATTTAGAATATCTGGGGTTAACTTTGAACTAAGTCAGGAAAATAACGGTTAAACATAACATTTCTGTTAGCCTGGGAGATGAACGCACCATTTTAATTAGTTTAGGACACTAGATGCACCCAAAATTACTTTAGACCACTGGACGCATCTGGGTAAATAGTTTGAGGTGCTGGGCGCACCTTAACCTGTCATAAGTATTACTAAGAAAAAATGAGTTATATTTCTTGTCACACAAAAAAATAGTTATATTTGCCACGCAGAGTTAGATTTAATAGAAAAAACTAGTCACTATTTAAAAATGTGTTTATATTTAGTAACCGATAATGTTAGAAGTATATTTAGTAGAAAAATATCTATGTTTAGCGTGGAAAAAAAATTATATTATCCATAATTTATGGTTTGTTATTTTTTTTTTGGGGGGGTCTCCGTCTTGTGTCGATTGTGACTAGTGATGACGCGATCTGATGAGATTTCCATAATTAGCATTTAGGAGCCACCTTTGGTCGAATCTCCGTTGGTCTGACGATTTTGACTGATCACAGGGGCCTGTGCTCCCCACCTTCCTTCCTTTTTTTCTTTTTACCTGGAACACCTTCCTCCCTTTCACACATCTATCTATGTTCAACTTTTACCCAACATTTCTCTGACTAAAAAAGTGTTAGATAAAATTAAATTATAGTTTTAAAAGTAATTTTATAATGTACGAAGTAAATATATAAAAAAATTTACTTTAATTTATAAAAAGTGCTTTTTAAAAGCACTTTTTTAAATGCCAAACATCCCAAAATCACACATCATGATTTTTTTATTTATTCATCTATCATATAGTTCTATCGAACACATAATAACACTTTACCTTCTAGTGTTTGAAGTAACAGTAGTTTTACTAGTTTAATAAAAAATTTTGAGTTCAGATCTTAAGAATTCTATTCAAATTATTCTGAATTCTACTAAGTATTTCAATTGAAGTGGGATAAACTCAAAATACACCACTGGATGTTTGAACTAGATTATTTTAAGTGTTGAAGGAATTCTATTTCATAAAGCACAAATATATATTTTTACATAATTTTCAAACACACTGAATTAGAAAAAAAAAACACACACACACACAATATCACCTTTTCCATTGCATAGTAAGGTCAGATCCAAACTTTAGTGTGCATAGGATTCATAAATTTGAGTTCACGATCCTCCTTAATAAATCAAAACGAGTACGTGAAATCATTTATTAATTTATCCTACCCGATAATTACTCCTATAATAACTGTAAATGCTTGTCTTCTGTTATGTTATAGAAGCAGGAGGGAAGGTTTTACCGCCAAATGAAAATCTGCAGGTTCTCACCAGAATTGGACACTTCAATTCAGGTATCTGCTTCATGGAAAGCTTCTTGGTTCTGCTGTTCTTCCCCTGGCATGACCCTTCTGAACGACGAGGATTTTGTTTGGAATTAAGCGCGTGAATACAAAGGAATAAGCAAGTTATTGTATGGGATTCGATTATTAGAGACACGTGAATCTAATATTTGAAGGGATTGGGCGGAGATCAAAAGTGATCCCCACGCCACAGTTTTGTCTCTGTAGTGAATTGAATTACGTGATGACAATGGGTCAACGGAGGACTGTGATGTTTGTCGGTTCAGAGATATTTCTTATTTGAGTCTGACTATGATTAAATTTGTATTAATTGATATAATAATAAATATCAAATATTTAAGAATAACAAAAATTTCTTCATAATAGGAGGGGACCAATACTGGTTTGTTTTTTTGTGCTATTCTCCCTCGGAGTATAGGGGATAAAGAGCAGACTCCTTTGGTCATGAATTTGCGTAAAAGGTGGATTTCCACCGGGTAACATAAATGGGCCCTTTGTTAGAACCGAAATAAACCGCATTTTCCTGTATTTATTATTTCGGCCCACTACGAAGGAACCCAGCATCCACGTACGTACCCTGACATTTTTTCTTGGAATAAAAAACGGACCCTCACTTTGGTTAACTAAAATCACAAATTAAAACCTGATTCATCATTCAAGCACCTGACTCTTGGCTTGGGTTGAATCGGATCTCTGCTTGAAATTTTTATACCAAAAAAAGAAAACCTGATTGATCATTCATAATTTATAAGTTAAAATTGTGATCGCATCGGAAAATCAACATATTTTGGGCTGGATTAAACGCTTTGAGAGGCTAATATAATAGGAGAAGGGATCCGCGGTAGGCAGGTGTCCTTAAAAATGGGAAAAGCAGGGGAGATTTGACTTTCTCTTTTTTTTTTTGGGGGGGGGGGTGTTAACTGAAGGAAGAGTCCTTAGAAAGTAGGGAAGAGGCGAGGGATTCACAATTTCCTCGCAAGGTGACAAAGCAGTCACGGGAAGAGGAAGGGAAAGAACAAAAAAGAAAGGAGCATGAGAAAGAGGGAAAAGGGAAGCAAGCAAGCAAGCAAGAGTAAGTTAAAAGAAACCAACCTCCCCAATTAAACAAATCAGGATTTGCAATATATGGAGTCATGATTCTTGTCCTCAAGTCTCAGAGCAGCATTCAATATTCTAGAGTGAGAAACCCTATCTCTGCATTTAATAGCCTCAATCACACGTCAATTTTTATATCCCTGGCCTCTTTCTTTCCCACCACCTCCTTTGACCGCCAATCCACAAGCTTGACCTTTCTTCATCTAAACTATCATCAAATTATTCTAGGATCTAATATTATCAACTTGTTCAAGATCTCTTTTTCCCACCCAATCAATGGATTACTCTGAACTTGATTGTTTTCTCAGGGTAGGCCACCTAATCTGGCTTTGGACGTTACATCAGTTTTGTTTTGTCCCTGTTTATAAATAGTTCCTCACTGACCAAAGATATGTTAATACTAATAACCAATTCAGACACGCCAAGAAGGGCATGCTTTAAAGTGGATCCACTGTTTGGAATGCTTACTTGCGATCAATCAGGTTCCATTGACATAGTTTTAGGTCAGATAAGAATTTCTTTACCTAAAGGGTGTTCCTTTTGGACTACTTTTTTTTGTTTTCTTTAATCATGAAAGGAGCAACTCAAGCTAAATTTTGGACTCCAGAACAATCAATTGCTGTTAAAAGCGTCATGTGTCATGAAGAATAGTAACCACACCAGTATATATCTAAACGACTAGTTCGTTTTGTCTTCTCTTGGGTTTCAGGCAGCTATTATTATCATATATACTTTCAAAAAGTAGGCTCAGTCACACACAGTAAACTTGAAAATCATGCGTGGTGAGCCAGTAAATTTTGATGTTAAAAGAGATTGATGAAGCAGAACTGGAACCAGGTGGTATAGATTTAATGCTACGCAGTAAGATTTAAGAAAAGGCCAGGACCAGCCAACTCACAACCAATATGGAAAGGGGCCAGAGTAAGAGACAGCAGATAGAATTGACCATTGCTTGTATCATTTAGATTTTGAAAGAGATGTATAATCTTTCTTCCATTTTGCGGGTCTGAGGGTATATGATTTCTCATCTAACTGATAAAAAACTAGAACATCAGAAAATTACCCTTTTTTTTAAAAAAAAAAGATCAATATCATACTAAGAAATGCATAACACAACCGAAGTAGCCTGTACAGAAGTGGCTAGGTTCTCATGTGCTTAGCTCACTGACATTGGAAGAAGGAAAAACTTTACTGAACATCCTCTTCAAAGAACAACCCAACAATGAGGATGAAGTTTCTGATATAGAAATAGCTGAGTCACTTACCCCTCCATTCTCATTATCATTATTAGTACTAATACTCTCAGTTCCACGGTCGTTCTCGCTGATCTCAGAACCCGGAGAATCGATCACAATCTCAAGCATAGCAGAGGAGTCATCCTCATGAACAGAACCCAATTGAGAATCATGTTCCGGGATCGGAGCCCTGCAAATTGGGCAATTCGAATGCGAGCTCAACCACATATCGATACACTCGACATGAAAAGCATGGCCACACTTGGGTAAGCTCCGGCCACTTTCTCCATCCTCAAAAACGCTCAAGCAAATCACACATTCCAACTCTCGCTCATCACCTTCTTCGTCCATTGTATCTGCTTCGTATACGAATACAGGAATCGCAGCAATGGATGCCGAATCCAGCCCTTTAGTGGGGGAGTTGGAAATGGGGGAGTCTTGTAGATTGAAGCTGTGGAAGTGGTGAAACCGGGCGGGACCGATGACGTCGGAGACTGTGACGGATGCCGTGCGACGCCTGCGGCGGCGGCGGCGACGAGCTTGAGCTTGGGCGTGAGCATGGGCCAGGAACCATTTGGCGTAGAGATGTAGGAGGAGGACGAAGAGGATGACGAGAAGGAGGGAAATGATGGCGGCAAGCATGATGTTGCTGTTGTCGGAGAAGACGCTCGGAAGCATTTGAGCGAGAGGGTTGGTGTGCAAGTCAGCAGGGGTGGCGGACATTGAAGAAGAAGAAGAAGAAGAAGAAGAGGAAGAAGAATGGAGGAGAGGGAGGAAGATGGAAGCTTTGAGGAGGAAGTGAAGTCAAAGGAAGAACGCAGAAACCAAGGAGGGATGCATGGGAAGGAAGAAGAAGGAAAAAGCGAAGCCCAGAATTGAAGGACTCGTGAAGGCGACGGCAGCAGAGTAGGGTGGTTGGCCTTCTTTCATTTTTGTATATGCGGGTATATGTATATATTAATTTTGATCCTTTAATAATATATATATATAAATAAAATATATGTCTATAAAATATTGGGGAGCTTTAATAAATCTGATGGCAGGGGGAGGATCCCTAGGCACTATGACATTTTTCAATTTCCATGACTCATAAATCATGCAAATCAGCAAATGCTAGACTACAAAAGTCACCAGATATCCTGGCCCGAAAAGGTCGCCAGATATTCCTTAATTATAAATTAATCACATATAATAATTCAATTAATTATAATTTATTCATGCAGAAGTCTTGCAATTTGCATGGAGGAGTTTAAATTTAAAATTTAAAAAATATCACATTTTCTGAAGCTTATAATTAATATTAATTATATCAGTATAAAATAAATTATTATATATATACAACTAATCTTAACATTTTACTAGTAATAGTACTATTCATGAATTGGCTGTCAACTAACCACGACTGTGACCTCAATTCCTTTAATTAATCTTTGGATCAAGTACGGCTTAGATCGGTGATCACCTTAATTGTTTTTCTTCTTGGAAACGTCGTTCATGCATGCAACAAGATTCTCGAAGAAATTCTTCCCACTTTACTTGGAAAAATCACTATTAGAATCCCAAATTATTATTATTAGTACATATTACCTGTCATACAACATTTATAATAAGCTACTACCTCCGGTCGTAATTATAAGAGCCAGTTAACTAATTTGAGGAGATTAAAGAAGTAAGTTGAGTTAGTTATTTGTCTTAAATAAGTGTTGTTTTTCCTAAAATATTCTTGCTAATCAAGTGTATTGACTATAACTATTATTGTTAAAAGGGCTACTTTGAAAAAAAAAATGTATAAATATGAGAGATAAAATGGATTGGGGTCTTATATTTAAGACTAAAATAAAAGTCAAATAAAGTCTTATATTAAGAACCGGAGGTAGTATTAAATTTAACACATCCTACGACTTGCTACTTTTTTTTTTTAAAGACTATATCTAACATAAAGAACTTATTCTAGTACTTCCTTTCCTTTTCTATTTACTTATTCTGATTTGGACTTTTATTTAGTACTCTCTAAGCATATCTCGTGTTCTAAATTTTAAGACATAACTATCACTTGCCATTAAACAGAAACAATTAAGATTTCAATTAATGACATTAAATGAAAGAAAAAACTGAAAAAATTATATACATAGATTTTGTTTTTGTTTTTTTTTGTTTTTTCATGTGAAGAACTAAATATAGGCGTAGAGATGTTATGCGGTGTCACTGAAGGGATAAAAGGTGGGGGAAACCATAGCTGTTGGAAGAAGACGAGATTGAGGGGGGGGGGGTCCCAATATGAAGAGAAGCCAAAGCTCATAATTCTGTTTGTTGACTCTACAGCCCCATCCTTTCACAGTTGAGTGAATCGAATCCATTGTTAGCCATTCATACTCTCTATATGTAGCTTCCCCATTAACTATTTGTCCCATGTTTAGTGATCTTGTTATGAATTTTTAGGTTTCCATAGAATAAATAGTTCATTAAATTTCCAGTTCAGCGTGATTGGTGTTGGGTGTGCAAGTTCAAAAACCCAGGAGAGGTTGTATGTTTCTGAATAAAAATGACCTTAAAAGTGGTTTGGAAAGCAGGAATTGAAAATACTGGTGAATGCACTAACAAACATTGGCTTATGCTTTAAGTTCCTTTTTTTTTTTTTTGGGTTCGCCGACAAAAACAAAAGTTTATTTAATGCAACAATGCTATGAACAGTGTAGGGTAATGCGTGTAGACAAAGTTACGTAAAACTTATGCTAATAAGATCGACAATCAATACGTTTTATTTTTTCATCACAACATTTTTTAATTCCTTCAATGCTCGGACACCGATTACCAGGTCTTAAACAACTGAAAAAAAGAAAAAGAAAGGGAATCTGATTATGAGATTGCTCCAGTTTTAAGCAATCAGGTTGCAATCCCTCTACCTGTTATCACAACATGTTGATGCTAAGGATAGATATGGAAAGCCAGGGAAGACTTTAGTTTATTAACGAAGAGAGAATTAACAAGTTGTTATTTTCAATATGGTGATGAATTCATGGGAAATATTACATATTTTCAAATAATTTGGAATTGGAAAGAATGGAGAATTGGTTCACAAGGTCCGAGCAATAGCAAGAGAACCGAATGTGATATGTCCATTTCAGTCCATTAGCTTGTATCTTTTCTCCTGTACTCCCGTAACGCCCATTTGGATCTCTATGATCGTATGAAGGGGCACCTGATTATGAGCAAATTCCTCTGTCAGAGCTAAGTAACAGTTGGATGATTCATCGGAAGTGATGACAATGTTCATCATCCAATTGACACTATGAATCTCACACACAAAAAATATTCCAGTACGGCAGTGAAGGAATTTTCAGTCCGCTTTAATATAATAAGATATTATTGTAATATAACACATTTCTGTTTGATTTCACCATTAACACCATGGTTTTAATGGATTTTCAATGTAAAACCAAATGTGTTCTTAAATAGTTACCACCATTTCAGCTTGACCTATCTATCACCTCCTTTCCTATATGTCTAGCAGACCAACCTAAAGCATAACTAATTGTAAAATAAAAGCACACAATATGGAGAGGGCAGAAGGATCCTCTTTACTGTGCATTCATCTATTGAGAACAAAAGCAGTGACAGTATTTATTCACTATGAATCTGATAATTACCTCCATATGCGGAATTTCTTTCAAAGGCCTGTCAGCAAAATAAGCATATAACGCCCTCAGAACTGCCTGCAATGGGAAAAACATTGAAGAGTTCAAGGATTATAACCAGTCTACTATAGGGACTATATTGTAGGAGAAGCACAGTTTTAGTGCTACGAATACAACCTGGTGAGATATCACGACAACAGGTGCTCTTTGTCGCTCAAGTTCAATAAGTACAGGTTCTAACCTGCAGTATCATTAAAATTATTCCAACTTCTATAAACCAAACAAGTTGTAGTTAGGCGCAAAAATAATATCAAAGATGCTAGGGATTGACCTTTGGATGACATCCAAATAAGATTCACCACGAGGATATCGATACCTAAGCTTGTCCTTGTTGCGAGATCTGCAACAAGAAAATCAGAGTTTAAGCATACAATTATGGGACATTTGGACAATTCTATTATGCTCCCTCACAAGCCCCACCATGAACTCCCTCTTTATCTCGTACCAGTTTCATTCAATTTAAAAGGAAGAGCATATCCATGAGTGAGAGGAAAAGAAAGAAGAGAATGATTGCAAGTCTGTAACGTACTCATACTCATCTGGCATGTTCTTCTTGATTTCTTCATATGTCATTCCATCACAGACCCCAACATTTATCTCGTCAAGAGCCCTCCATTGAATCTAACATAGAGTGGGGAAATGGTCAAACACCGTTGCTTAGTCCACCTAATCCAACAAAGGATATGATTGCATGCAACCATGAACTTAAGGACGAAACTAACCTTGGGATGTCCACCAATTGGACTTGCTGTTAGAATGGATCGCTGCAGCGTACTAGTCCATATCTAGAATATCAGTTGCAAACATCACAAGTCATTCATTATTTCAAGCATATGTTTACACATAAGCTCAGCTGATCTCAGAATAAGATCAGAATTCATTTAAGTGATTCATAAGAGTTATTATCTGCATGAGAAGATTGCCGAACAACATATAAGCTATGCAGCTTCAGCAGCAAAAACAAGCTTCTAACTAGCATTGAGCAGAAATAAAAATATATGACTGGAGAAGCTTACAGATGCAGCTCGCTCTGATTTGAGTCGTTTTTCTACAAAGTTGGCAAGCTTCTTTGAGTAAACTTCTCCAGCTTCACTGTTGAAAAGAAGTGCATATTTGTTGTTAGTTAAACATAAATTGACATCGATGCTTGCTAAGGCTATAGATATGACAGTATAAATATACAAGGCTCACAAGAAGATAATCTCAGAGTTGATATGCAAAGAGGCACAACTCAATTATGCAGAAGTTTTGAAAAAATAAACCAATTTAATAATAAGATAAACAAAACTGCCTCAACAATATAAAACAGTTAGCACTTAAAAGGAACATGTGATCTTGCATCTAAAAATCCAAGAAAATAAATGCAAGAGCAGGATTTATCTCATTTGGGGAATGTGTTATGTACCTTAATGCAGAATCTCCCCCAATCCTGCCTCTCACATTATCCTGACTTTCTCCGTGCCTAGTAAGTAATATTGGGCGTGGTGTAAGATGTGTATTTACCTGCAATATTGAGTTTGATAGGCAACAAGAATATGAATATGAAGGAGAAGAGAATGTAAGTTATTCTAAAGAAACTTACAAGTGATAAGAAGTTAGGTCCTGTTTGATATGAAGCATTGAGAATGAAAAGTAAGGATTGGAATTGGGATTGGGATTGAAAAAAACCCATTAAAAGAGTATTTAGTATAATAAATTGTTTTGTATTTGGGATTGGGCAAACCTGTATAAGTGGGATTGGGAAGCCCTATATAGGAAGTATATTAAAACATATGCAATCTGATTAAGCCCATTAAGAATCATAATCTAATAATGATTGATAAATAATTCATGTCTCTCAGATTTAGCGTACATCAATCCCATTCTTTCAGATTGAGTAGATTCGAAATTTAAAAATGAAGTTCAATTATTGGAAGTGTCAGTTTAAGTGCTTGTGAGGCAAGTTCAATACAATCCCCCCTCCTTTTTAGCTGCATTCTCACATGATTAAGTTCATACTTCCATCTTCCTCATAAAGCTAAAGTATGTAGCAGAACTTCCAGCACAAATGCTCTTCCAGGGCCATTACAAAAGCTCAATTATTTGTTTCGAACCATCACAGGACAATTACTTGTCGTAAAGAACTTTTGCAGCCAGTACCAACCAAGATCGTGATATTGGAGAGAGTTTCATTCCCACTAATGTTGTCAATCCTGGATCACATTATATTAATTAACTTCAGTTTTAGAAGTGTGTGATTATGCAAAGCATTGGGGTTATTTAATTCAGGACTGATCAGGAGATAAATCTATTTTATAAAGTACTACAGTAAATAAATCATTGGTGGCCCAATGGTCACCCTTACCTTCCCATTTAGTGGGATAAGGCTTGTTATTGTTGTTGTTGTTGTACAGTAAATATAAAACATGCCCTTATTTACCAGTCTTTTGAAAACCTACCAAGAAGAAAACTATACGGCCAGGAAGGTATCCACTGATATTGTTCACCTAAACCAAAAGATTAAACACCATAGTTAAGTAAAGCAGATTTAAAACCATGCCTTTTCAGCTTCAGTAGCTACCATAGTTCACATCCAGTTTGTTGCTACTTCAATGTATTATATCTTTTCTTTTTTGGTTTTTGATGATTAATGCACTATATATGGTTTAAGTAGCAGGGTCTGTCATAAACTTTAGTGACCCTGATAATCGTCAACCAAATAGAAGTAATACTCGCCTACAAATGGAAGAGGAAAACTTACTTGTATTTGCCCACCCTGCCCGCTGACCATATCAATCATTTTTATGTAAGATCCTTCTTCTACAGGCTCATAAACCTGATAATATGAAATCAACATTATTTAAGGCCAAAGTTTGTCAACAACAATCCCTAGAAGTGCAATTCAAAGACTAGCCTTCTCATAATTGGCAAGGCGATTTTTGAAGTCTCGCAACCCTGCCTCAAAATCCGGTCTGCAAAAGGAAACTGCGTGTATTCAGAAGAATTGCTATCAAGATAATACATCACTGGTTCTCAGGGAAACATTACTCTTCTGCGTAGTCAGGACTTTGCTGAATTTTCAGAAGTATATTCCTTTCAATTATGTTAACATCATTGCATATTGTTTCCAGAAAGATAATCTGCAACCAAAACACATGAATAAGAAGATTTAAAATCTCCGTTTCATGTTTTATACATAACAATGCCCTTCACGACTATTACCTTGCATCTTCCTTCAGCCAATTTCATCAGCATATTTCTTCGTTTCTTAGTACTGTTTGTAGCGTCAAATATCCCAACCTAAAATTGAATTAAACTGATGCAATAGAACAGCAAATGGAGACATAAAATTAGCAGAAATATCTCACAAGACTAAACTTACCTGTCCACCTTCATGCATCCAAGATACCATATCTTCGAATGCCAGCGCTGCTACCTAGTGGCATGTAATAAATTAGAACTATGCAGACAAAACGGTTGAAATAGCATTAACATGCTATAATTATTCATGATAAACCATATATCAGAGGTAGCGCTACATTAATTGGTAAATGTCACGAAATGTTAATGCCAGCAATACGGATTCTCCTGCTGGATATTTAGTTCTGTTTTTGCTGGTCAGAATAGCATTGCCATTCTATAGCCAACATTGCAAAGTCATTTCGGATTATATCATTACCCCTTGACGATAAGTCAAACCACCAAAGTGTTACTCCTAGGTCTACAGCCTGCTATTCCATTTTCCTAGAAGTATGGAATCAAGGGCTTATGAATTTCTCAAATTATTCAAACAATACAACATTAATAATAAAAAGCATTATCCCACTGGGTGAGATTAGCTACATGGATTGTAGGACGTTGCTGCTCTATCAAACAATACAATGAAACTAATTAAACCTCTAGTAATGCCCGGTTATGATTAGGAAGTTCGTCTTCGAGGGATATGAAATTCTTAAATGAACCATTCCTGTCTATATTCATCTCATTCATATGCCCAGTTCATTTAATCATGAATTAATTTTAACATACTGTATTGCAGGCTATACGACATTAAAAGAAATTTCATTAAATAACATTTTAAGAAATAAATAACGTCAATAAGATATCTAGATAATATTTAGCAAACCTTATAAGCACAAGCATAACTCATAATCCAACCAAGAATAACACTTATGACTAGTATCTATATTGCAGATTCTGATTTTCACTATATTCAGTCTACCTAATGCATGCATAATTGACCCCAAGTTACCTCATTGCGTGCCTCTAGGCCTTCAGGATTGTCAGGTCGAAAGAAATCAGCAGACTGCACAGAGTAAGACATCAAATGGCAATCAGCCAACAGAAAACAACTAACTATTAAAATTTCATGATTTAAAGGGAAAAAAATTATGCGTCAGAAAAGAAATCATACCCCAATCTTTGTTTAGATAGAAGAAATTTTATTTGATAAAAAGAGAGGAGGATATAACAACCAACTAATGTGGAAAATAAAGAACAACATGATGTGCAGTATGATGTGTAGGCTCAATAGTGTAACAAGGATAATTTTTTTGCATGATCAAACGTGCCATGATGATTACCATGATATATAGACTTTATGCTCCCCTCCCCCAAAACACACACACACAAAACAAAAGAGAGAGAACATGTTATAATAACAGATAGGATTTAGATAATAAGTGTTCATTACAACTAGATATTAAAAAATTCTTCAGAAGACAAGATTAAATCAAACTCAATATCTAATTATGTTTACCTGATTTGCTCCATGCTTAAGACGTCGATACTGCAGCAATCAAAAGTTAAAGTGAATTAACTTTCATTCTTGACATAATTCCAATAGTTTCAAGACTATAGATCACAAATAAAAGTCTAGTTAAGAATACAAATAACCTTCCCAACATTGAAATGTTTGGTATCATGACCTAACCAACGGAGATATCTTGTGAGTTTAGCAGCAGTAAAAGTTTTACCTCGAGCAGGCAAACCCACCTAAAGTAACAAAATCAAATCAGAATTATTCAATTTCGCAAATATCTGTTACTCAAAGGGATGAAATGTATTTAAAATTGGAAAACAGAAAGTAACAATTTTGCCAAGTATTTTGAATCCAAAACAAACTCCTACTTCGTGGAGAAAAACAAAAGCAATGAGTAAGTGTTACTAAAAGCACACAATTTGGGGGTCATAATAATCACTCATGCTTGAACATTACCAAAATAATTGCCAAATGTCTGTCCTCCTTGGGACCCAGCATTTGATCGGCCACAGCTGCCGCTGCAACAGCTCCAGCAGCTGCTGGGATTGAATTCTATGTATAAAACAATCAAGAGGGCAAAATCAAATATTTGTAAACTATCCAACCACAATAGACACAAGTTGTTGCACTGACATTAAATTTGAAAAACAAAATAAGAAATAGAAGTCGGTAATACAAACCTTAGTTTCAGTATCCAAATTAAGCTCGGTGGTGAAAATACTAGAAGTAGCTGATTTTACAAGTCTAGGAGATCCGACACCCCTATCAACAAGAAGTCCCCTTTGACCCTCTTGCTTTTGCATGGGTGAAAATGTTCCCACCAACTTAGATTCAACCATTCCAGAACCTTGATACGCCTTAGATGGCTCTGGGATAACAACCTCCATCTCCTAGTTGGAACAACATAACCTATCAGGTATAATACATAGCAGCATCAAGAGTCAATATAACCCAGGAGCACACTCAGCGGGTTTTTTTTTTTTTTTAATATACTTTGCATACTGGTATTTGTTGGTTATTGAAGCTTCTTTTAATTATCAGAGAAAAAGGAAAAAGGAGAACAGTCAAGTAAATCCATTATGGTGCCCGGCATCCACAAGCTAGTCAACTTTAAGGGTACAAAAGAATTGTCTAATATGATATGTTCAAGACTAGAATCTACTTTCTATTTACTCTTTAACATAAATACACTAACAGAGACATATTACAACAGATATAAAGGCCTGTGAAAAAACTCTGGCAACATGCAAATTAGCACAGAGCAGACATTGCGATAGAGACAAAATCTGATCTTTAGACTGATAAGATTTCATATTAATTAATTATCCTTGACCCAATACATTGTGAAGAACTTCTTCACCTTGTACGAAGGAAAATTATAAATTTTCAAAGTGACATTGAAGGTAAACCTTTACAGTTGCAGGTCGCTCGATAGTAACACCACCGTCACTGATGGAATATGTACTGCTTCCAGACCAGCCACTTAATGACCTGGGATTCTCAGCCATGTTAGCTCCATATACAAAAGCTGAACTTGCAGAAGTTGAGGGAGCTGGGACAACGTATTTTTCAAGGTCAAGTTCCAAACCCGCAGAAGAGCAACTCTGAGGGAAAAAATAAGAAGAGAAAAATTCCTTAGTAAAGGCAATCTTTTTTCTAGAATCTGGACAAATTAACCGTAGCTTTGAAAAAGTGACTGCTAAAACATATTTGAAAATAAAACTTGATGGATGATTATCTGCGCTTTGCACAAGGCCCACAATTTTCTGGAACTAAAAGACAATTGAGGAACCTAAGTAGTAAAATTTTCTTTAAATTGCACATATGAAGTGGCATGTATTGCAATTAGTAGAAATTAGTCCATTTTAGTCTGTACAATTAGGCGCAGGACATTCTGCATGTTCACACATGGTAGTTTAACTCAGAAGCAGAAAAGTAAAAGTAAAGCTGTGAAGTACCATGACTCGTGTCCAGATCCAAGTCAAACAGTATCACAATTCACTGACATGAAGCAAATACGAAGTTGGACAAAAAGGAAATTTTTGCCACAAAATTAAATTTTTTTAACAAAGAAAACGTAGTGACTTCACAAAAGAGTGCCAAAGTTACTGAGTTTTACCTCACTGCCTAATGGTGGCACTGAATTTATGCTGACATCAGGAATGCCCCTCGCAGCAGAAGGACGGAAGTTCTCCTGATAAGCCCTCCAACTAGCTGCAAGATCAAAGGGAGATACCCAGTCTGCTTTGACAAATACTTGATACTCTAGAGTTTCATCATTATCAAGCCTGAATAAAGCAAGCCTGGGCTGTCGGGCATCCTCCGTCAGTGCTCCCCTAATTAGCAGGCGATTTGCACCCTCCTCAACAAAACAAGGCGTGTTGCTGTGCTTAGGCTTCAAAAGGAATTTGAAATCTAAACTTTCTGAAATCCATCCCAACAATATTAAGACGTTAGTTTCAAAAAGGAACAATCACCGATGAAGCATGGATGAACTTGACAATAGAGAAAACATACATCAATTATAACTATATAACAAATGAGGCTACCATACTACCTGAATCTCTACTTAGAGAACTTTCAATTAGTTCCTATATTTCCTTAACCCCTGAAAGCTTTAGAAAATATGCATTGTTTATGGAGTTTGCTTATGTTGTGAACAGTCCGAATCCAATTTTGAAAAGAAGAAACCAACAGGAAGCCAAAAAGACAATTAGAATAATTAACTTTTAAAATGTACAAAGCGAAAGGCATATGGCTACTACTTAAAGGCAGAGCAGGCAGGAAGGAGAGTGGGAGAGAGATTAAATAACCAATAGCCATACCATGATTTGGAGGAACAACAAAGCTCAACTCCCACATTGATGCAGATTCCCGCTCCATAGAGAGCTGATATTGGCGCCAAATAGACCAAAACAATTAGAAATAGGATTGTCCCGGAATCATACCAACAATCAGTAGCAGTAAAATTAACACTCAGCATTCAGCAGAACATATTCAAAAATCTGGTTTAAGCAAAGTTACAGCTTTTGAAGGATCCCAGGAGCCCACAAGTTGGACAGAGCCATAGATATGCGGAACAAGATCGCCTGTAAGCTTGCGATTCTCCATCTTAAGTGAAACATAGAGCTGTTTACCCGCTTGCTCAAGGCTATCCCGGTCTTCTTCGCTTCCATGGGACCCACCATCCGTACCCTTCGACGTACCCGTCCCCATTCTCCACCCACACTCTCTGCCTCAGAAGCTTGCAGCAAAAGATAAAAGTAGAGAAGAAGCTATCCCAGCAATCGAATAATCTAGGTGTTATTCTTCGAGAATATGGATAGAGAAAGAGTGAGACAAAAAGGAGTGAGACCCAGAATCGAGGGTGGGAGATAACAGGATATATATATAACTTTATCTGGTGTGAGTCTATTTGGCATTATCGGCATTCGCCATCAGCAACTAAAAATAGAGAACGGTAAGGGGCGGGCGACCGTGAGGGAGAGAGACGGAGCTAGCGAATTAAGTTCTGGTGCTTGCTCGCTTATGTTAATACCCATGGATCTGCCTCCTCGGAAAGACACGTGTTGAGAATCCGGGGAATTGGCGGTTATCTATACCCTCCAGGTTTTATGATTTCAAGAAGCAGTTATTCGCCCTTCTCATTCTAGCATGGTTCAATGTAAATTTAACAAATATTACTCCATCTCTTATTATAAGGTTTTTTTAACTAAATTATACAGTTTAAAAAAATAGTTAAAATTAGTTAAAATAATTAATATACTGTATAACAAATGCAGTTTTTTTAAATATACCCCTATATATAAATAGATAAATATGAGATAGTAATAGTAAGATAAATAAAAAAGAAAACATATTAAATATATTAAATTAAGGGTAAAATAGGTAATACTATATCAAATGTTCAGACAAATTTAAAGAGGATCTTATAAAAAAAGACAAACCCATTCAAAAAATTAAATATTATAATAAGGGACGGAAGAAGTAATTGCTCTTTTAAATATAATACTCTGATTTATTTCTTCTTTTAAATTTATAATATGTTCTCAAAAATATTTTTATTAATTGTAAGATATTTTTACTCAAGTATAGTTTTAATGTACATGGAATAGGGGTAATTTAAGAAAATCAATACATATTTGTTATAAATAACTAACTTGATAATTTTTTTTAATCTCTCCAAATTAGTTATCTAGTTTTTATATTAAGAACCAGAGGTAGTATATATAATAGTTTTTTAAGTAGAATTTCTTCCTTCCATGATACATGAACTTTCAATCTTAATTAAAAGAATGTTGAAATCAGATTCATTATTCTTTAACTAAGTTCATCGAATGTTTTTTTTTTTTTTATGATAATCGCATGATGTTTGAATTCTTAGATATCTATGTGGAAAACTTGGCAGTGCTATAAAATTTTGATTCATTTCTGAGTAGAAGCATTATTGCTAGTTGTGCACATGCCTCCTGATTGGTTTCTCCTTTCGTTGTTTTGGTTAAGACTAATAAATTCAATTGCCTAATTAGTACTCATCCGGTTCTTAATATAGGACCCAGTTGTTGAGTTAATTTTGGTCCTAAATATAAGACACATTTCTCATATTTATTAATTTTCTCTAAATTATCCCTATAGATACTCCCTCAACCATAATCAAGTAGAAGAGGGAGATGGAGTATTAAGAAAGATTATTATGATATTTTAGGAAAAACATATTACATTTTTTATAATTAACTAATTTACCTAACTTTTTTAATCTAATCAAATTAGTTAAATAAGTCTTATATTAAGGATCGGAAGAGTACATCATTACTGTGTTTTTCATATTTCAAATAGTCATTTATTTATACGTAATTAGTAGGCACTCTCTTTATATCATTTGTGCATTGTCCACGAGAGAGTATATTTAATTAGTTGTTTATTGGGCATAAAAATTTACATTTATCTTTTATTCACATGATGAATTACTTGAATACATGTACCCCACTCTGTATTCATAGAAACATATATATGCTTGTATTTATTTCATAAATCAATGAACATGCATCTTATTCTTTCACACATGGATACATGCACATCAATTTATTGAGTGAGTGAATCAGCACAAAATTTAGTCGGCGAAAAAGAAAAAGAAAAAGAATCAACACAAATTTTAAAATTAGGAATTAATTAAATCACATTACATCGTACTCATCTCCCCATGCACAATCGGAAGGAAGATGAGAAATCTTTAAACATATTCATTGTATTTAAATTGAAATAAGTTAATGATCATCATCCTCCGGCTAAACTCCTTAATGTTACTGCACGGAGTATAATGTTGTAATTCTACTTTTCTATTTTCACCATTCTCTTATACTGGATCTAAAACATAAAATAGAGGCCTGGCAAAAAAAATTAATGAGTGAGGGAATAATTAAATGAATCAGTAAATTATATTATATTGATCACAAATAAACACACAAACATTTAAGAATAAACCTTGTAATTATTCATCGGTCTCAATTTCTGTTTATCATCGTCATTATATTTTTGTATAAAAAAATTTAGATGAATTGGATCTCAAATAACAAATTATTTACTAACAATATCCTCAAACTGATAATAAAATTTGAATATGAACTAATAACCTTACGGGTTAGAACTAATCACCTTGTAACTCATGAGTAGCTAATTTTTATTGGCATCATTATTATTTATTGTTAACCGAATCTACTTACGTTTTTTTATTTTTCGCCTACAAACGTACATTTTTCACTTTGCTCGGTTTAGAACATAGGGCTACGGGAACAAATAGGCCTGTTTCGTTCTTATGGGCTAAGCCCATTAGGGATTCAATCCGAGAGCACTGTTGCTCTTAAATAAACCAGATTTCAAAACCCATCCCTAAAGGGCTTAGGACCAGATCCGAAGATTCTAACTTCTTAATTTTGGGAGAATAACCATAAAATTGGAACGTAATTACTTAAAAAACTTAATAATAACATAGTAACATATAATAACAAGTTTCAGCGTAAAAAAATGACTACTTCTTATTTGTGATTGTGATTGTGATTTTTTTATCGTTATTTTCTTTCATAGTAACTCTTTAATGAAAAAAAAAAAAGATTTGAAAATTTCAAATGGGAAAGCTAGCATGTCTCTAAGCAGGGTGGGGGCAAAACACAGTGGAGTTACATAAATAAAACAGTGAAGCAGACTCATATCTCTCTGCAAGTTTTACTGCTGATGTGTGATGTGAGCATCAAGCAGTACTTGAGAGATGAGAATTTAAGATACAGATGAACAAGTGTGGAGTAAGGCATTGGACGAGACATTTGCTATAATAATTTAGTATTATTAGCGGTTGCTATCTTCTTCAGTTCCCGAAATACTTGTGTTGCCTCTGCATCAAACCCACCTGCAAACTGAATCCCCTTCCCACTCGTTAGCTCCATAAAGCCACAAACTCCATTAACTACTGCTAAGCCTTTTTCCCATTCCTCTAGACATATTAAAAAACCCCCAGTATAATTATAATACGTGGAAATTTGTTTTTTTTTCCTCAATCAATTTTACTTGCTTTAATCATCACCATTATACTAAAAATATGAAATATTAAGCGTGGTGAGTGGGACCTACCTGGTGGACTCTGAAAGCAAACCTGACTCCTTGAAGCAGCAGGTTGTCTTCCTGGGAGGCTTCGTTACCCACCAATTCCTTTGTCACCCGCTTCATATACTCCTTCGCCACCCTCAATGAGCTTAACTTCATCTGCAATATATATGCATCACCCAGATTCAATTATTTCCATTTTTCCATTCAAACGCATGCAAAAAAATGTATGTCATTGCTATCAAAAAAGAAAGAGAGAAAGGAAGGAAAGAAAGAAAGGAAGGTACATGTATGCCATTGAAATGATGATTCTTCTGTCAACATTGTGCTACATGAACTCTATCACTTTGTCAACTGTAGATGTTTTATCTATTGCAAGTCTGCCTTTTAATCAAAGTTTACCACTTATCAATTCTGATATCGACATTTTGTATTACATGCAAATTCAAATTCAAGTTTTTCCAGTGATATTTATTTCAAGTGTATTCCTCACTTATCATAAACATGTTGGACAACGTTATCTTTCGGGACAGAGAAAGTTGCGGTAGATACATTTTGGAACATCTACTTCCTTTACCGTCGGAGGCTCTTAGAATTTATGCTGATTTGGGTAACTCAACAACAAAAGAGTTTTCAATACTTCAAAATCAATCTTTCCGTAATAAAATATTCTTAATTATACGTACTTTTTGATACGCATACCAAATATACGTACTTTATAACTTAGAATCATTTAATGCATCACTTGGTTTACTGCTTGTTTATAATTTGCTCCAAAAACCAAATTAGATATGTAATGAATAAGTAGACAAAAAAGGCAGAAGTTTATTTATCTTCTCATATATTTTTACCATCAAATTATCTAATCATATACCATAATCATAGCTCATTAACTTAAAAGTTTTCAATGTAGTGCTGGTTGAACTTTAATAACAAGTCTACAAGACATGGTATCATGCACTTATGATCTGATCATCTGAAAAATTTTGAATTTCTTGAATATATTGTACTATTTATATAATAATATACTATTCAATTGCATAATACTACTTCCGTTTTTTAATATAAGAACTAATTTGATTTTTAATTTGTTCATAAATATAATATTCCAATCCACTTTATCTTTCATATTTATCTATTTTTTCTAAAGTAATCCTTATAGTAGTTACACATGTTAAATGTCTAATCAAGTAATACTTGATTAGCAAGGGTATTTTAGGTCAGATAACATCTATTTATTACAATAACTAATTTAACTAATTTTTTTAACCTACTCAAATTAATCAACTAGCTCTTATATTAATTATGGGAGAGAATAAAAAATATCTCGTATCAATCATCAAAATCCATGTATTTCTGGTGTGATTTGGCTCTGTTCTGCTTCTGGTAGCTATTTGCAGAATGCAGATCATGAAACTATGAAGCAGAGTCGCGCGTACCTGACCGATAAGGCCTGTGTCCAGCATCCATTCCCAAGGAATATGAAAATTTCTGTACCGTTTGCAAGCAGTCTCCCCCGTCCTCTCCGTATTGCTCACGCTTCTCTCCAATCTGCACATTCAAAATCACAAGTAAATCTGTCGATTAATCTCCCGCATTTCATACACTCACCAACTTTTAGCTCGACATTCTAATTAATTTTGTACTTGCTCGCCTGTCTTGCAGTGATTGCATCCTCTTCAACGCCTGCCCCGCCGCCTCTTTTGGATTGTCTTCGAACGATGATACCTCGTATTCCAGGTTCTTCAGATCTCGGTAGCTACACGCAGCTTCACGAAGTGCGTCTGCTTTCTTCTCTGGCCACTGCGGAAAATGCTTCAATACCGATCGTTCGTCCACTAACGATGATAGTTCTCCGTCCAGCCACTTCACAAATCTCTCTACCTCGCTAATGTCCGCGAATGACGTTGATTCTACTTCTTTTATTAAGAAATGGACGAATTCTCCTTGTTTTTGAACATCTGATTTTATCTGTCCATGATTGTGATTTGCATCAATGAAAAGCTCCACTTGTTTATTGATGCAGATATATGATAAAAAAAAGTGAGAAATCAAATACATGCGCTCGCGCGCGCACAGAATGAGATGCTAACACTCTATCATCCAGACGCTGCTAGTGTAAATGCAACTTACGGCGGAGAGAAACGTTGAGCGGTTTTCAATTTCCTCTATCATGTTTCTGGTAAATGCAACCGCCATGACGCCATTGGGATTTCCTCTGTTCTCCATGTTTGCGTCCTTTCTTGTGAGCGAACGATACAATTCTATCACTTCCGGCACGCGACGCACCGCTTTCAAGCCGAGCAATGATTTTGGTGGTGCCGGAGGGGGCGGCGGTGCTGTTATCGCTGACCCGTTCATCACCTTCTCATCCTTGCCGGAAGCGAGAGTGGTACAGGCTGGCTTTGGAGGAGGAACGGGCACTTTTACTGCTCTTAATTCCTTTTTGGGTGCTGATTCCGACAAATCTGGCTGCTTCGTAGGCAAAATCTCATCGTCAAGACTCACATCCGAATTATTATTGCCATCCATGGAGTTCTGTATCTTCTTCCAGAGTATGCTCTTTCTCTCAATGTTGTGTGCTTTGAAAGAAGCTATCTGTGCCTTCAAACGATTCACTTCTTGTCTGAGCTCTTGGTTTTCCTTCTCCAGTATCTCATTCCTCGCCATTTGAGGTTCAAGGTTCTTCTTCATCTGGGAATCGGTCTCTGCCTTAGTCATTTTTTTCTTAGAATTTTTTTTTGACTGAATATGGTTATGGAAATGATCTTTTATATCTCGTCTTTCTTTTGAAGGAAGGTTGGTACGTTCAAAGGTGATCCCTGCAGCACTGTCCCTGGTGATCTTTTCTCCTTTTAGACATGGCGAGTTCGTTGGCATTGGTAAGGGTACTTTGGACACTTCACAACTTCCATTTTATTTTTTTTCACTTTGATATAAGGTCTCATTATGATGCCTTTGTAGTGAATCTTTTTTGTTTTCTAGATGAGAGATTACTTGGACTTCCGGTCAGTCACTACAATGTGATAGCTGTCCTTAGAGTGTCCAGTTAGGTACAACCTTAAATTCATTCGTCAAATCTACATTGCTTCATATTTATTTCTCTATCTTCTACAATTTCTTTCATTTTGAGTATTACTGGACAAGATTAGACTGCCAAGAACATCTATCAAGGTCATCTGTCGTACTTGTGGCTATATTCTAAAACATCAATAGAATTATAATTTTAATTTGTGACGACAATACGTTTAATAACTCACATCATTAGTCAGCAGTGAGTTAAATCCCCGGGTTTGGACTTTGGAGTCACATTTTTAACTTACATGTTTGAATCGTGGCAAAAGCAGAAGTCAGTACCGAACTGATAGCAAAATTCTAACCTCCTTGCAAGGAACCCTATTCTTTGCAAATCTGTATTGTCCAAGTGCAACCTTTGAAATGGGGAGAGTTGGGAACCTGGGTCATTCTAGCTTTCATTGTGATGGTCGCCTTTCAACTTTTGTAAAATCACCGACCTTCTTCTTAGGGTGGCATTCTTTTTCCTTTTTGCTTGTGAAGCAAAGAGAAGGAAAGGACAAAGGAAGGTAGGAAATGTTATAGTAGAGAGGCTCAGGACTGAGGAGGGATAAATATTTACTCGGAAAAAAAGTGAAAGGTGCTGATTATAACAGCGCACCACATGACATCACTGTGAAAATTCCTTCTTTTTTTTTTTTTTTTTCATAATGCATGACGTTTCTTACTTTCGTTCCTTTTCACCCCTTTTTTCCTTCCTACTCTTTTGCAGAGGCTTCAAACCCCTATTAGTTACTCAGCAAGAACTCAGTGTGAGCGTGCAATGACTGAAAATACGGGAATTGAGAGAGTGAACAAGAATACAGATGCGGAGATTGGTTGAGTGGTAGTTGAGCCTAAGCTTCTCAACTCATTTAACAACATTCAAGGCACTCGAATCATATATTAAACCTGAAATACGTTTTCAAATTATTATCTTAAATTTTATTATATCATAAATGTTTGACATTATTGTATTTAGTATCCTGTCAATATTTCCTAGTCTAGAAAGGACTCATTAATCACTGAAGCTATCAACTTTTTCTTTTTCTTTTTCTTTTTTTATTTCTTTACTAAATCCACCTCTGTTTTAGATGCAACTCTTGGTTTGATAATGGCTTCTCGTGCTACTTTTGGCAAAGCTATTCCCTTCATGTTACTGTGAGAAAGAAATCAAAAGGGACACAAAATAACAAAAGAGAACCCGCAGGAAGAGACAAAGCATCAGCAACATAAAGCATTATAGCAATGCAGGTTAAGGCATCGACATCGAGCACCATAAGCTTAAATGCTACCCGTTTATAAGGACGCAAGCAGCCTGCTCGACCCAATTCTTTCTTCTTACTTTCGCTGCATAAGTCGTAGTGGGCTCGGATCCATCAGTCTTTGCATACAGTGACATTCATTTCAACTGTTGGATTTGTACTCCTCCTATCCCTATCGGGATTGTGCTTTAAAGGGTCATATGGCTATGCGCATCCATTCAAAATGTAATGTGCAAGGCAGCGATGATTAGTTTTTTTGGTTGTCCTGAAGGGAGTCGGTTGCAAGTCTATTCTATCTTTTTCTCTTTTTCTTTTTCAATGCAGCCAAATCAGAAAAGAAGGATTGGAGGAAAAAAAGCCCTGATTTGAAATAAATATCACCGTCAACGTAATTAGGAATTCTTTTTTTTTTTTTTGTAAAATATATAGTACTACTGCCCTAAGAAACAGGGAAGTTGTCTACACCTCATGGAAAATTCGGGATTATCAATGTACAGTTAAAGTGCATTTATTGTGCAGTTGGAGCAGTGTGGTTGTTTTGAAGAGGGATAATGAATCGCCGGTCAGATACTTGCAACACTAATGTTCGACTTTCTGTTTTGAATGACGTGATCTTTAGTAACAGGATATTTGAATGAAACCAAATTATAGTTTAGAGAATAGTTTTTAGAGAATAAATTCTTGGAAGAAGAGATTTTGTGAAAAAGTAATTCTGATAAAGTGATAGTATTTGGATAATTATTATTAGAAACACTTTTTATATATACAAATTACTAAAAAAAAAGCATAAGTTAATATGATAATTACATAAAACATATATTATAATATATTTTAAGTTGAAGGAATAAAATTATTAATAATATATTTTTTACCAACATAATTAATAATACATAAGATAATGTAATTAATAAATAAATAATTAATATGTGTATATATATTTATAAAATATAAGATTAAATATATTTATAAAAAAATTAAGGAGTGTTAAATTTATATTATTGTTGAGATCTACTTTATTAGGCATAGTCACATTCTCCAATTTGAGCCAGAAGCAGAATGGATTCACTTTTTCCAAAACCATGGTTTTGGGTTCCAAAACTATGATTTTAACCCAAACTATAGTTTCGGATAATGTGTGCCTGTTTGGATGATTTTTTTCTCAAACCATAGTTTAGTTTACTATCCAAACATGGCCAACATCGAAGTTTGGTTCTATCATTGACGTATTTAACATTTTTTCAATTTCAATTAATATTAAATTTTATCACAAGATATAGTGAGCCAGCCCCGGCACCTATCACGCACGTGAGCTTTCAACCTGAGCCCGGCATGTGACTTCTGCATGTGAGATGTGACGTCCATTTTGGGGCACTTACCATATTGAATTATTGATCAATTGGGTGGGTTGGGGGTCCCTAGATATTTTTTTTTTCTCGCAAGGATCTTAATAGGCTCGGGGTATAAAAATTTCTTGAACAGAAAAGGGCCCAAGACAAACAGCCTGCATCTTTAAATTTTAGAAATATCTAGGAGAATTAAAACTCCATAATTTATGCCGTGCAACAAAATTGTAGAAATACTCAACTAACTCCAGTTTTGGAAAACACAAGACTGAAATAATACTCATCTTTTTTGGTGGACTATGTCATAATAAAAACTTCTTCGTTTATCAAAAAAAAAAAAAAAATCTTAGGTGGAACTGCAAAGCCAGAAGCATGCTATTTGCTGGTTGATTCTGGCTAGATGGTTTCTCTTATTGAGGATTTGGAGGGCGGCTATTGGCAGCACACACCCTTGAGCCCCACTCAAGAAGTTCTTTGCTGGTATCATCCTTGTGAACAATCACTTCAATGAAGCACAAGCAATCTTTCTTCTCACCCATCGCTGTTTCAATTGCTGCGATCAGCTCCTGTTCATTGCGGGCCTGTTACAGAACACCATACAAATATTAATTCACTTTTCTTAAATGTGACACCAAATTTACCATTCAATTTTAAAAACAGTGAACTCTTGTCGCAAATTAACCTTTTGTGTCCAGCAATTTCCTTCACCATTGTGGATTGCATCCACTAACCCTGTGTAATTCCAGTTCTTGATCACATTATAAGGACCATCATGGATTTCAACTTCTATAGTGTATCCACCGTTGTTTATTAGAAAGATGATGGACTTCTGATTATTCCGCATCATTGTTGACACATCTTGTGCAGTCACCTGCCGGTCAAAATCCTTGTAAGAGCTTTGGAAACGATCAAAAAGAAAAATGGCCTTTGACAGTGACAACCAATGAAGGCTATACAACAAAATTAAAGCTCCGACTTATTCATCTATAACCTCCAACTTGGACTACATGGAGATTATTGAATATTGGAAAGGTCATGAATATCGTAGAGTTGCTTCCAATCCCTAATTTAATTTTCAACCTTACAAGTGGGATGACTGACCTGAAAACTTCCATCACCAATGCAAGCAATGACACGTTTGTCAGGTACAGCCTGTGCATATCCAAGTGTTGCCCCAACAGACCACCCAATTGAGCCGTACTGCATTTGAAATTCATACCTGCAATACCAACTTATTTTCTTTTTTTGTTACACTCAAATAATTCAATAAAGCCCCATGCATGCATGTAGACTGAAGGTTTACTTACCCACATCCTTTTGGTAATTTCAGCTTCTGGCAATTAAACCAGGAATCTCCCGTCTCAGCAATCACAGCAGTGTCAGAAGAAAGCATCTTCTGGATGTGCTGGAAAAGAACATTAACCCGCAGAGGCTCAGTAGGTTCACACTTGGGAGGTTTACCGTCTGGGACATAGATTCTGGTGTAGTTTTCATATGCAGTTTCGTTCTTGTTCAACTTTTTCGCTAATGCCTGAAGAAAGTCCTTCATTAGTACACAACCAAAAGCGGGGCCATTAGAGACTACAACACGATCTGGTTGCACAATGACTGCCTTCTCCTTCTTAAGGAGTAGAGAGTATCCTACAGAGCTGTAATCATTGAAGATTGGTCCAACAAATAAGTATGCATCAGCTGATTCAACAATCTCAGCACAAAACGCAGTGCTCACGGCTCCCCAGTAAGTCCCTATGAAGTGAGGATGGGTCTCTGGAACCAGTCCTTTCGCTGATGGCATCGACGCAATCGGATAGCCACAAGCATCCGCCAATTCAACAAAGGCCTCACACGCTTTCGCCACGCGGAGTTTTGGCCCTCCCACAATGACTGGCTTCACCATTTTGTTCAGGAAAGATGCAGCAGCATCAACAGCTGCGTCAAGCCCCATCTTGTTGCTCAATCTGTATTTGCATATGAATAAAACCTGAGTGCCTTTTGCATTTTTTTCTTTCTCCCATTTCCACAGAATAAATTCCTGGAGGGAAAAAGCTTCTGAGCAAAGAAATTACCTGGGAGACAGAGCAAAAGGAATAGGATCTCTGCTAAAAGTTGGATGTGGAATTGCAGGCAAGTTACAGCTAATGCTAATGTAGACAGGCTTGCTTTCTCTTAATGCGGTAGAAATTGCTCTGTCAATTTGTTCATGAGCGTCTTCCAAATTGTTTACCACAGCCTGCGAATACATGACATCAATGCAAGTTTTACGTGTTTCATTTATTGGAAATTCGCCAATCTGAAAATATCATCTCCATCTATGGTAAAAATATAGTCATTAAGCAGTATAGGCGGAAAAGGAATTTCGTCTAGAAGATCAAGATAGATCACTCTCCTATATATCACAAGAAAAAGCTTCCATATCAAGAAAATTATACTCCTCCGGTTCTTAATATAGGATCCAATTCTTGAGTTGGTTTTGATCCTAAATATAAGACCAATTTCTTATATTTATCAATTTTCTCTAAATTATTCTCATGGATAATTCCTCAACCATAATCAAGTAGAAAAGGGAGAGAAGGTATTAAGAAAGATGATTATAGTGTTTTAGGAAAAATGTGTCACTTTTCTTATAATTAACTAACTTCTTTAATCTAATCAAATTAGTTAAATAGGTCTTATATTAAGACAAGAGGAGTAACATTTTGCCTCCAAAATTGTTTCAATCAGTTAAGGATATTTGTTCACAATCATGTTAGTATTTTATTGGAAAACAACCCTATTGACTCTCACAGCTGAAACGGATCCGGGCCGCATGAAGCTTTTGTGATGAGATGATTGCTAATGTGCTATCATTAGGACGCGGGTCTTCAAATTACGATCCAATCTTAATTTTTTGTTATACGGCATGCATTGTTTGTCTCAGCCTCGCAAACAACTAATGAAATAGCCAAGATAAATTAGCAATTTACCTTTTCTTAGTCTGAAAATAAACGAAGTTACCTGAAAGCACGTCACAGTTTGGAAACATCTGAGCTCTTGGCTGAAATCAGGCAACCCAATGGTATGATGGAGAATTCTATTAACTCCATAATCGTTGGTATTCGGACCCCCAACAATGCATATGACCGGAAGGTTCTCACTGTAAGCCCCGGCAATGGCATTCAATACGCTAAGCCCACCCACAGTGAAGGTCACAACACAAGCTCCAACTCCACAAGACCTGGCATACCCATCGGCGGCATACCCAGCATTGAGCTCGTTGCAGCACCCAATGTTCGTGAGCTCTGGCTCAGCAATCAGGTGATCGAGAAGCGTGAGATTGAAGTCGCCGGGCACGGAGAACACATCTTTAACGCCGATTTGGACGAGGCGGCGAGCGATGAAGCGGCCGAGAGTGGCATCGCAGGAGGCTGAAACAGGAGGAGAGGGAGCGTCTTGGATGGGAGCAGAGCCGTTGTTGGGAACGGAACCCACATTGTTGTTATTGGGTTTGGTGGCGTCTAGAGAACCGATCATGGTGAACTATGTGATGAAGAAGATGAATAATGTTGCAGAGAATGAAGATGACGACGGTGATTGAAGAAGCATGAGGGAAAGGAAGAGATGAGGTCGTAGACATGAGGCGAGAGTGAGGGAAGAGCGGAGATGTGCGTGAAACAAGGAAAGAGACTCGTTCCCAACTGCCAGTAACACCATCAATGTACATGGCAGTGAACCACAGTCCTATTTCAACTTTCAAGGCGAGAGATTGCTACGCTACAAAGGAGGAAACTTTCCAATCCATGCAAGTTTTCGTATTTCCTTTCTTTTCTTTTCTCTTTTTCCTGAGCCGTTAGAAAATAACTGACTCAGCCATGGCGGCAACGACAAGGTGTCCAGCGAATAAAAGGGAGGAGGGCAGCTAAGGATATGAAAAAAAAATTAATATTATTTTCCCTATCAAATTAAATCTCTATCACGAATCGAATTTTTAAATTTAATATTTATTTTTCCAATACTGAAATTCTTTAAAAAATTATTATTATCAAAATGCCCCGCATTTTTTTTTAATATGAGGCTCCTGGACATGTGCTCGAAGGATTGGGGTCCTATGCTTTTCTACGAGAGAAAATACCCAAAAAAATTTTCATTGACTTTTGGTATATATTTCACATTATCACATATTTATCATTTAGTTCTTTCCCTTTAGTTATTTTATATAACGGAGGAATTGTTGAGATTGACTTCAATTAATAAATGCCCAGCCCATAACAATTTCATCCAAGGGCCAATGCCCCATTACAATTTCACCCCCTGCAAGCACAGGATAATGTGAAAGACAACAGGTCGTCAAGATGGAAAAATGGAATATGCACATTTTTTGTGCTAAAAATTTGTCAGTGTAATCTGTTTTCTCGTAAGAAACAAATTTTCAGATTACACAATAATACACAAATGATGAAATTTTGACATCTAATCTCTCTAAATCTTCGGCTCGTAGAAGTCTTAGTCACTTATAAATCACCCTTCAGAAACGCTGATCCTTGTCTACTGTGGACAACAAGTCTCTGCACAAAAGGTTATACGTAGTAAATCATGCCAACCTCTAGCAAAGAAGTATTTGGCACATTCAGGATAACGTCAGGCTCTCTGCAATTCTTGCTTAAAAATGCAAAAACAACATCTATGGCTAGTTTTTTCAAGATGGAAGATGATTTCTTTGCCTTGGCATGGGAGTGTCCAAGTATGTAGGCCACTCCAGACTCCTTGGCCTTCAGAATCTGCAGAGACTCTTCTTTTAAGAGAGATTCTTCAAGATGGTCATCATTGTCATTCTTCACCACTCGCAACTGACTTGAAGATGAAATCATGTTCTCTTCACCATATGAGTTTTCAAGATATGTGGACAATTCATGTGTTGATTCGGGCACACATTCCTCAGTTTCCACAAATTGGACTATCCCAGAAAGCAACTTATTCTCAAAATTATAGTTCTCTTGCTGTAGATCCTTGTAACCATACCTGACAACACAACGGAACATACCATATTCCTTCGGGCCAACCCGGCTAATGAGCAAGCGTTCATTCTCACAAACATGAGGGATCTGAACAGATTTGATGCAGACAAAGACAAGCACCTGATGGAATGCAGGCAAATTTGTAACAAAATGGCCAAAAATGGCAGGGATGCCGGAAGCCAGATTAGTGTAGATGAATCCCACCCCAGGCACACGGGCGATTCCTAGGGAAGGTCCTAAAGAGAGTATCCTGCTCATTGAAACCTTGTTTTCCACATCAAATTGGTGTTTCTTCATTGTTCCGTAGTTCCAAGTATACATTATGCCCATGAAGATTAAAGCTAGCACAAGAGGGATCCACCCTCCTTCAGGGATCTTGCAAATGGAAGCAGATATGTAAAGTAGTTCAATTGATCCAAACAAGAGCAAAAATATGATGGCTTTTATAATTCCTTGCTTCCACACAGTCAAAATAACTAATATCATCAAGCAAGTCGTCACAAACATAACAGTGGTCACCGCAAGTCCTGCAGATAAAGCAAAATATGTAGTTTAATTTGCTCACCAATAATTTCACATATCTTCACCATAATGGAAAAGAATATTACCGTATGCATGACCAATCATGTTTGTATCCCTCAGACCAATAGTGACAGCCAGACAAAGGCACATCAAGATCCAGTTGATTTCAGGAATGTATATCTGCCCATAAATTCGACTGGAAGTATGAATAATCTTCACCCGGGGAAAACAATTCAATGCACAACACTGGCTTACGATGGAAAAAGTAGCAGAAATTACTGCTTGACTTCCTACAATAGCAGCAAAAGTGGCCACAATGAACACTGGCCAGAACACAGCTTCTGCAGGAAAAAACAAAAAAAGAAAAAAAGGAAGACACAATCACATAAGATGGCCGGCAATTATGTTTGGCATTTTTGGTTCGCTTAAAATATTTCTTGCCTGGTATAGCTTTGTAAAAACTTCTCTGAATGTCTTCGTGGTGCTTGGAGAGGAATGCAGCCTCACCCATATATGCCAGAATCAGGCAGGGATATACAATACAAGTGAAAGCTATCTGAGATTAAAGCGCAATTTTAAGATCAGAATTTCTCTCCAGTAAGGTAAGGCACCCGCATCATGTTAGATAACAAGATTCTCAGTTTACCTTTATTGAGGGTGCAGAAAAATGACCCATGTCAGCAAACATTGTCTCCACACCTGAGACAGTATCACAGAGGAAGATATCAAAGCTGTGTCAAAAGTTTTGTATTGCATAGGAAAATATCAAAACAGCTTCTAGAGCTCTTATTTGGCTGATATTAGAATTAACCTAACTGTGTGAGGAGTGTTTATGGTACCTGTGATTGAAAGAACCACTCCCCCCAGTGAGAGCCATCCTTCAATGCCTGTGGTCCTGATGAACCTCGACAGGTAAACAGGAGAGAGTGCGCGATATATTTGTGGGTTCCAATGGAGTATATTGTATATACCAATACCACTGATACACAAAAGCCATGCTGCAACAACTGGGGCAAACAAGAAAGCAACTCTGTGTGTTCCATGATGTTGAATGGAGAAAAGGCCCACTAAAATGACACATGAGATTATAACTATATAATCTGCAAGAACAGCCATATGGTGTTTAATAGATAGTGAGTGGCTACATATATGAAGGAAGCTTGCTGGACTTTAGTCTTACTTTCATGTAGATGACTGATTTTAACTTGAACTCCTGAAACTGCAGAAAGAACTGAAAGACACATCTAAAAGTCAATGCTACCACTAAACACTGGAGCCGATACAAAATCTCATAGAATGTGAACAAAACGCAGGAAAGTAAGAAAGATAGATCCAAGAACATCGCAACATTACGTTCACTCACTCAACAAATATGCGATATATCCAAAAATTAATAACCAGCTGCCAGAAGAAAGGTTAATGATTATTGCACAATGTGTTATCAGATGATCTTCTTGCGCAAGTAATGCGAGATAGATGAAAGGTAAAGTGATAGCTTACAGGAGTCATGAAGTAAACATCATTATAGAAGTTCAGGGGCTGCTCCGGATCAACTACCTGATATTGCAGGAGTAATAACACCATCTCCAATTGCCATACAGGTTCCTAGCAGAACAAATATCAGCAGTCCTTTCTGGAACCTTGGGTGCTTTTCAAAGAACAACTTCAGAAGAGAAGACTGCCAGGTGTCCGCAGAGTCTTCTGTGGCATAAGCATGCAACCTCTCATCGGTGGGCTGTTGATTAAGTAACATGTTTAGCCTTGCATGCCGGCAAAGAAGAGAGTATAAGGCAAAGGTACCTCCTGCACAATTCATGAACATTTGATGCTGGTAAGATTGATTTTGTTCAGACATGACACTTTCAGAAACTAATAATTCTTAGGGGAATAAATGACAGTTCCTGCTGACTGTTTAAGCAGAATTAACTAACAGAAAATTTCTTGTGTCAGAACAAAGGATGGAAGTTACGTGTACTCAATCCTGACCCTATCAAATAACACATTATCCATGAATACAATTAAACTATAGAGCCTTTGTTCTACACGACGTCTAAGTTGAACCACACTATTCATGACTATAGACTTTTATTATGTGTATGATTTTCAAGAAATAAGTGGAGAAAAACGGAAAATATTATTCACTATTACAATGTGAGGGGGAAAACAAAGACTGTGCTTTTATCATTCTTTGATTATTCATGACATGCATCCCTTGGGTATATCCAGAAACCAGCTGAGTGATTATTGCCTGGGCAAGAACGAGATTATAAAATGTTCTATCTTCCTAAGCAACTATAATTGGCTTGGCTTCAAAAGAACGAAAAGAAGTATCAAACAGAAGCATAAAGAGTCTGACAGAGGAAATATAGAATAATGCTACAAGATTCTACCTTCACCGTTGTCATCAGCAGACATCACGATGAATACATATTTAAAGAGCGCAATAATAGTGAAAGTCCAGAAAATAAATGAAAGCACCCCAAAAATTTCCTCATCATCTTCTTTGAGGCTCAATTTCCCTGAGAAGGTTGTCTTGTAAACATAAAGAGGGGAAGTGCTGAGGTCTCCGTAAACGACTCCAAGACTTTGATAAGCCAGAGTGAGCACGGTCGCACAAGATGTCTTCTTTAAATTCTGATGCAGGAAAAACTAATGTAAGCACATATATTTAAGGATAGCTTTTTTTTTTTTTTTGGGGGGGGGGGGTGGCGCTCTGCATTAACATTCAGCAGTTGGCATTCCAACTGCTTCTACTTCTAAGCGCCAAGACCCTAATCCAGTGTTGCTTTTTAATCCATTGTCTTTTTTTTCCCCGGGACAACAATGACTATGTTAATTGAAGGCACAAATTTCACAGTAGTTCATCACCTCAACACTGATCAGCACCAACATCTAGTGATAGTATCGAAGTTCGGAGCCAATACTAGTATGATCCATATATGGTGTACAGAGAGTAGAATTCACCATCCAATACAGACGCAAACACAAGTGATTTAATTACATGTAGGCCATTCTAAAGATTGCATATGATCCCTACCAAAACCCAACCCAGCAATGTCATTCGGATATACATTACAAATACATTGATCTCTGAGTAATAATCAGTCCCACCACATTTAACTTTTAACAATCAGACCAAGAAGTCCCAGAAATGAACGGCATTACACGTCTCTAAAAATATCGGGAAACAAGAAGGCATTCGCAGAATAATGACAAGGCAGAAATTTGTTCGTAAGAAAATGATCTTGAGGGGTGATAATTCCTTAGTTCAGAGTGAAAGAAACAGAAAGAGTACCTGCTGAGATATTCCATGTTCCACAAACTGATCAGACGGGTTCATGGCTGAAAAAGAAAGAGAGAATGTAGGAAGAAGGATGAGATAAATGGTTTAGCGTAGCTATAGAGAAAAAAGAAAAGACAGAGACTTTATAGAGGGAGAAAGAAGAGAACGTAGAAGAAGAGCAGAAGTAGTAGAAAGGCAAGTGGTGTGTGTAAATACAAGTTACAAAATGCATTCAATTCTCTTCAGCTCCCTGCCTCCCTCGTTGGTTAACCAAATTGCTTCTACTACTCAATCAACCAGAGTCAAAAGCATTCCATAAAAGTTTTTTTCTTTCTGTAAAAGAATTTCATAAACCAAGCCAAGATTAAACCAAGATTATATTTTTCTTTAATATAAGCTTCGTCAGTTTTAAAGTATTAATAACTTTATCGCCAGTGATACTTCTCGAATATAATATGTCTTCATCGCTATGCTTTCACGAATACGGATTCAGCCAACATTCTCAGCTCATCGTGCAGTCCAGGGAATTTCATATTGAGAGGACTGACAGTATTTTTTTGAAAAACAAAATAAAAAATCTGCGTGACTGTTTTTTCCTTTAAGAAAAGTTTTTCCCTTTAGATTAATAAGGTTCTTACTGAAAGTTTCAACTATAACATTAATATTAAACCATGTTGCATAATATATTCGTGCTGTCCATTCATCTAATACTAATACACCTACGGTATAAGGGAAGAAAAACAAAAACTGAGTTAAATTCATGAGCGTGAATCTGGCATCATGTTGAACTGGATTAATCAAACTGTATACTAATGGTGTATAGACTATAATTGTAGGTAACTAATCCCAATTCATAGGAAATTTGTTTTTGTTCTGTTTCGTTTAGTTGTTTGACGGCAAAAAAAAAAAAGAAAAAAAGAAAAAAAAAAGAAGGAATTTACTTTAGAAAGCGAGTTGCCGAATTTTAGCATCATTGATAACGCTTGACAAGCTAACATGCTCTAAGTCCTAGCTTTCTGGACCATTAAGTTATAGCCTCTAGTATCCTTATGGGTATGACTTCAAACACGACTCGAGAAGCTGGTCGTGTAGTTAAGGCCTCCAAATTTGCTTCAACATATCAACTTTTTTGTATAAAGAAAAGAAAAGAAAAGACTGAATATAAATCCAGTATCCAATTTAGAATTCTATTTTTTTTTAAATTTGAAATTAAACTGAGATATTGTCAAAGGCGATTGTAATTTTTGGGCACCATGTGTATCTCTCTGTCTCTCTCTTCTAAAAATTTCACCTCAAAGCATAACAAGAGTTCTCTTTCAACACTAATATGCTGGTATTTAGGTTAATGTAGTTTCAAGTCAATTAACTTATGGAAAAATTCTAAAAAAATGACTGTTGAATTTCAAAATGACTTATTGCTCCAGTCACATTCTATCTATACGGAGACTAACAAATTAAAAATAAAATTATAACTTATCCCATAAGCTAACTATTCAATCTTCGATCGTCCCACAAATATAACAAGATCAAGAATAATTGATTTTGTAGAAGTTGAATTATGTTATCTTTTTTATAAAAAAAAAATAAAGAAAGGTCAGCTACTGACACCCATAACCTATATGATTGAGATGCCCTGCTAATTAGAAGAGAAGGCCAAAAAAAAAGGAAATAAAATAATTGAGCAAGAAATAAGAAAGAGGATAAAGCCAAAATAGACGATTTTTCATATATGCAGGAGTACTTTTTCCCCCATATATGCAAGATTAACCTTTGAAGTTGGAGAATTTGTAAAAGTATGAAATGTAATGTTTTTCCTTCAAAGCAACGTATTTTGCTACTGTAAGGAAATCTTGTCCTCATTCTCCATTAAAAAAAAAAAAAGTGAAAGCAGGACAGAGGAATGTGCCGCGGCCAATCCAAAACCAGTGGTTCTTCTCAGCAACTTTTACGTTATACTCCTCCGATCCTTAATATAAGACCCATTTAACTAATTTCATTAGATTAAGGAAGTTAAGTAAATTAGTTAATTATAAGAAAAGTGACACATTTTTCCTAAAACACCATAATCATCTTTCTTAATACCCTCTCTCCTTCTTCTACTTGATTATAGTTGAGGGAGTATCCATAGGGGTAATTTAGAAAAAATTGAAAAATATGAGAAATGGGTCTTATATTTAGGACCAAAACCAATTCAAGAATTGGATCCTATATTAAGGACCGGAGGAGTACTACCTTTAGTACTTAATATAAAAGCTAGTTGACTAAGTAAATTAAAAAAACTAATCAAATTAGTTATTTATAATAAATAAGTATTATCTTTTTTAAAATATCATTGCTAATCAAGTATATTAGCTAGAACTACTATTATTACAAGGATTACCTTTGAAAAAAATAGATAAATATAAGAGACAAAGTGGATCAAAATCTCATATTTATAATCAAAGTAAAGTCAAATAAACTCCTATATTAAGGACCGGAGGTAGTACTTCTCAATAATGAACAGATTCATAGATTTTTTATCTAAGAAAATGCTAACAATCATTAGTACATAAAAAGCTATCAACCCCACGTCCTGCATTGTTGGTTAAGCTTGGAAAGCAGCCTTCTCCAAACAGCTTGTGGATGCTCTGCTTTAGATCTGATGTTAACAACCTACCTAACAATTAAAGACACTAAACATAACAGTTCTTTTTCTCTCTATTAATTTCCATTTCTTCAAAACTTCTATGATATCCATCCTGTACTTGCAGTACTATATCTTGACCACACGAGAACCTATATCTGAAAGATGCTTATAATACTAATAAAGCAGAGATTTACTCTTTTTCCCTTCAATTCCACAGTACTTGTTAAGCTTTTTTTTTTATTATTTGTTAATATTACACCACTTTTTGTGGTTAGTAATCCAAAGACCGTCATTTTCTTGTCTGGGAACATCCATGGACTCTCAATAGATCAAGAGAAAACTGAAGGAGAGTTTTAAGCCTCTCTTGATGATATCAAACATTATGGTAAGCGAGCTTTCATGAACCATTGACAGTAGCAAGTCAGCATCGTTTGAAATACATGAAAGATCATTGTAAGTGTTTCTTGAATATAAAACGTATCTAATCATCAAATCAAATCAATCTCTTCTCGACAAGGAAATCCCGCTTTGGCTCTGCCCCTACAATCATTGGACTTGAGCATCACACAAGTGTTATGGGCAGAGCTTCTGAACCAAATTATCTATATTCTTAAGGTTATCTGAACTTTGACAACAACCAAATCATTCTTTGTTTCTATTAACGCTAATAATGGGGTCCAATCGTACATGAACTATAATGGCTTGTACATTGGATGTAGAGACTGGAGAGAGAGATAAAAGAGAAGTCCAACCTTCAAAGCAGAAGATTTGGAAAATAATTTAAGCGTAAGATCCGGGTTCTGTTTGGTCTGCTTTCTATGTCAGATATTGACGACTCGTCCCCACTTTCATTCAATTGCCTTCTCACACTGAATTATACCCTCTCGTGTGGAAGATCGCAGCTATGAAGTTCACAGAACCTTATCCTCTCTAGTTGCTTTCATGGGGAGACGAAATTATTAGATATTTGCTCTGCTCTCACGAATAACTCTTGTGTCCATGTTATATGAATAAATACAACCTCAAGTACATAGATCAAATCTACATTTGAGGTGAGGTCAAAAAAAGATCTAAAAAGTTTTTTTTCCTATGCGTGTATATCTACAAATATTCAAATCCTCTGATATTACTGCACGAGTATCAAGTGAGGAAGCAAATTTGTATATAGCCATGTTGATGCCCTTTCACTTTCTGCTGTCTGATTAGTCTAATAGCCCATGATGCACTCTGTTAGTTTACAACATGTTGCTTCTTGCTTCTTATCTGATGAAAGTAGAAGTTCTATGGCAGTCCATGAAATAAAACCAACAGCTGAAACAAAAGAACTGTTAAAACAGAGATAATAGTCATAAAGTTTTCTTGATGTGCGTTAATAATAACAGTTCAACGAGAACAACAACAAACCAATGATAAATCAAATAGTGAATAGTGAATGATAATAATTATGACATTGAGAAGCCTTCACTTAAGGCAAGGTTTTTGCATTCTGACATCGGCACAGTAAACTTTTGTGCCACAACAAACGTACATGCATTCTTGGGAGCAGATCCTTTTACCATACAACGCAGACATGGATTTCGTCAACTAGTACTTAATTGGCATCTCCTTTTCCATATATCTCGAGAGATTTAAGGGAGTCCCAATAAGGGGGACCATGCATGTATACAGCTTGAGATGACCATGACATTTAAAATAGTGGTTGAAAGCGGCTCACAATGTTGACTACTCCAACCTTCACTTGTATCACTACTGTCGCCATTCAATAATTCAATCTCCCATCCTAACGGATAAAATACTAGTTGGTCTCCTTCAATAATTGCCAACCCTTGCATCAACTTTTTTCCTGCTTTTAGACACCGTAAATGAGATTGTATAAATGGAAGGAATCTTATCCAAGCACATCAAGCTCATCTAGAAACCTTAGTTTTATACTATGCCCTTTAGTCTCACGTTAGTGCATTACCAGGCCTTGAGTACATGTTTTCGTGCGTCAACTATTGTCCTGAGGCAAAATCAAAATATGAGTAACTCTTGTATTCATGTTATATGAATAATTACAACCTCGACTATATAGCTCAAATCCACATTCAAATGTATGCACTTGCGTGTGTTCAAATTCGAATTCTCTCATATTACTGCACAGGTTCAGAAACAAGTGACTCATGAAGAAATCAAGATGACAGCCGGTAATCTTGATAAAGTAAAATAGACAATTCAGAATAGGAACAATTTAGTACCAATAAGAAATATAAGAATGAAAGTGGAGAGAAACTAACTGGCCAGCGGCAGCATAACTATTTTGAATATAAGATGAAGTTTTATATACCAAACTACAAATTTTGTAGAATGTTAATGAATCGTAGTTGCAGTGACTTGATAACTAGGAAATCAATAATTAAAGGACATCAACTATACATGCCATAGCCAGGTCCAGGCCAAGGCTGCAGAACCAAAAAATAACCAAACTGAATAACCTTTGACAAAAGGGAAGATGATCAAAACAAAAGAATTAAGAAATAAAAACCCAAAATTTTTCGAAGCAGAAAGCCACCAACATTCAAAGCTTGTATCGCCGAGGAAGATGCTTGGTGCCCCCATCAAAATTCATTTATCACGATCATAAGGAACTCTGCTTCAATGCATGAGAGATTTCAAACAACCTAGCTTCTTCAGTGTAATTTGTGACAAAATTTCAGTCCTGCCTCTGATCGAGAGATCATCAGTATCATCAGTAGCCCATTGGTGGCATGCCAAAAGGAGGCATTGGTGGCATCCCCATTCCACCCATAGCAGGTGGGGGTGGGGGAGTAAAGCCTCCACCCATTCCTGGCATTGGTGGTGCAGGCAAAGCAAGTGGCAGCAACTGAGCATACATATTCTGGAGATCATTGAGAACATTAGTTAGTTTAAGAGGTAAAAAAGATAGAAACAAAGGATTTCTTATGAAAGGAAATTCGCAGGCAAGAGAACCTGCTGAGCAATTGTTTCTTTCTCCTCCTTCTCCTTAGCCTTCTCCTCATTTTGTGCCTCAATTTTGTGCTTGATAAGCTCATCTACCTTACTTGCATACTCTCGAATAAACTTCAAAAATTAAAATAACAAAAATATATTGTAAATGAAAAAAAGGAATAAATTCCCACAAAAGAATGGAATTTATTGTCCAATAATGCATGTGACGAAAAGGGGGGGAACCTGCAAGAGATATGGGAAAGCAAAATCGATCATATTATTCATCCATGCCAGCTCAAGTGCAACATCTGGCCGTATTACATCGTAACAAACAAAGAGGCAAGAAGCAAAGCACTCTTTCTTCCCCTGCACATATACCAAAAGAAGTGTATAAATATCATTTCCTTTTTCATAACCTACGGTAAAAGAAAGGTCCAAGCTGTTAAGAAGAAAGTAGTTTGTAGAAAGAAAAAAAATAATAATCAAAATCATTTTCAAAGTGAAGCATTGCTCAAACCCCACATCATCAAAAGGGCTTAACCTGGTGAGTGTCAAAATATATGAAATCCACAGTTTGATGTTACAAGAATAAGAAAATACAGACCTGCTCAATAAAGTAGACTAGCAGCTCCTCTGAAAGTTCACGGTCACCAGACTGAGAGCATGTTTCCATACAGTCCTTGTAATGATTGTCTTTCTTTGACAAAGCAATGGACTGCTTCCATCTTCCCGCCTTCTTATAAATATAAGCTGCAACACGCCTCATCTCAAGAAGCTCATGCTTCTCAATCTGATAACAATAAATTAAAGTGAATAATCTTTGAACTTCTAAGTTCCCCAAATAGTTCAGATCTCAATTTTTGCTAAGGGTCATCAGAAAAGAAAAAGAGATGACCATACCTTCTGTGCAAGACCTATCTGATCAAAGTTGTCATGCAAATCTATTGATTCCCGAAGTCTGTCATAGTCCTCCTCCTCAACATAAATTTCATTCAAAGCTTCGTTAACAGCAGCCACATTGTTGCTTTGAACTGCAACCATGTATGGCTTCACTAATCGGAGGTGGCCAGCCTAAACCAGCAAAGCAACCAACAAATTAGTACCACATAAATTCAATAACATTACCATCAGAAATACGATTTTTTTTCTTTTTGACCTGACCATCAGAAATATGATTGAAACAGTAGAGATAGGTGATAGAAATAGCACCAAGAGATATGCACACCTTCCGCATTATATCCACTACACGAGTATGGTCAACACGAAGGGCAAGCACATTAAGAACATCGTTCAGGAGATCAGGATGTTCTTGCAAGTAAAAGTGAACGGCCTTGTAGTAGAGCTCCACACTTGCAACTTTAACTATGACATCTTTAAATTGCATATGATCCCATGCTTCTGGAGAGTGATTCATCACAGTGGTTGCAGCATTATCAAACTCATCATATTGGATATACAGATATGTAAGTTCCTTCCAGTGCTGCTGTTCATCACAGGCCCGAATAAGCTTGGGAATATTAAGGCGAGTAGAGAACAACTTGATGTGCTCCATAAGCTTCTCATGACGATATCTTGCATATAGAACTCCCAACTCAGTAAAGATGCCCATATGTGCACGTTCCAATCCTAGACCACTTTCCATTAGTGATATGAGTTCATTAAAGCATCCTCTGTTCTGATAATACTCACTAACCTCTTCCAAATCATCGACCTTCATAACATAAAAGAATAAAATGCACAGAAATGAATAGCAAACGATCAGATAAAAATCTTTTGGCCTTAAGGTGAGGGAGAGGAAAAATAAATTTCCAAGAGAATAAATTCAATGACAAGTTAAAAAAAGAGTGCCACCTGAATGATGATATTGAGACCACAAATCTGAGCCAAGCGGAATTCTTCAGCATCAACACAAGCAAAGCAAACTTCCTTCCATGTCTTTGAACTGTTTGCTTTCCTGGCTGCATCCACAGCACCCTGGAATTGTTGAAGCTTCACCAATGTGACAGCCAGCTTAGCCCAATTAGAAATAAATGCAAAAATGATCTTTGCTGCCTCATACAGGGCCTCATCGTACAAGCGGTCTCCAACATTTGGAAGATTAGCAACATTTGGCATCAATATAAACTCCTCGATTTCTCCAAGCCGATCAGTTTTTGCATATGCATAAATGAGCTCACCATCCACTTTGGGCTCTTTTGTCTTCTGCCTAACCATAAGAAGGTACCTTACCAGGTCATGGTACACATTTGCATCTTCAGCAGCCTTTATAACCTCCAAGAAGCAAGTGACATCATCTGCACGGATAAACGACTCAATTGCATCACTCACAAAACCTTCTCTTAGTTGTGCCTTGGCAACCTGGCTCCATACAGCATCTTCTTCAACCCGGAAAGCAAACTCTACAGCTCGATCAATTGTTCGAAGATTATCTAGCAGAACATTAACAGCCTGAACATTCAAATTAAATTTCTTGAAGATGGCAAATGCCTCTTCGTATAGTTGTGCTTCAACTGCCAATTCTCCTACTGCAGGTCCATCAAAGTTGTCCAGCCTGTTAATGTAATCCATAACTCTTGATGGATCTGCCTTGATGGCAGTAAGGATGAGCAGATTTTGCAGGTTAAAGTTTCCACTAAAGGCAGAATTTTGCAGCACAATCTTCTCAAGAAGCTCAATCAACTCATGGGGAAGATCTGCAGTCATAAAAGCTTTAACTGCAGCTGAAACTTGATCAGGACTCTTGCTTTCAGGCAAAGCAGTGGAGACCACTTGATCAATCAACTGCCTCCTATACTCATTCTCAGGATTCAAAACTTTCTCCCAGAGGTCAGCATCCATTCTTTCCACAACATATCTAATCCAAGATCACAAGGATATAACATGAGTATCCCAGATTAAAATTACAAAATACAACAACAATTTAATTATAGACAACATAAACACCTGGCTTGGAGTTTAAACAAGGAATTCTTGTTTGTAACATTGACAAGCTCATCATCACATTGCCCTCTTCGGTAAGCAACAACAGCAAGGGTGGGATCCCGCTTCTCACAATATTTACCAACAACACGAGAATCATAATATGGGTTGGTAGTGAGAAAATGCTCTGGATTGTTGTTGCTGTCAATAATTATTTTACCAAGAGCATTATGCACATGTACATCCTGGCTTCCCTCGCTCACGAGATGCTCCAAGAACTGAGTAAGTAAGCGGAGACGATTCCTATGCATATAAAGTGAAATGAGAAAAGCAAATGAGGCAATAAAAATGGAAAGGCATGTGGTAGATAGAAAATTAACAAACCTCTTCTCACATTCTTCAACTAAAGGCTCAACTGGCAAAAGTGAGCGTACTGAGAGTATAAGACCTTTAATAAAATCTTCAGGGCATTCATCATCTAACAACTGTCCAACAACTAGAGGAGCATTTCCAGGATTGACCTATAAGTGAGAAGCATAATACTTGAGTTTCACAATCCCTTACCATTCTTAGAAAAAAAGCATTTAAAACAACATCAATTCCAGAAACACCACAAAAAAATATATATGCAACCATCACAACTACCTTTTGCACATAGCCTTCAATATAGCGAAGCATGTTGTTGGTATAGAGATAGTGGGTGAGACTCGGAACAAAGCCAAAACGATCACACACATTAATCAACGGTCGTGCATCTGGAAGCTTGGCTTCCATTAAGAAGTTCATGGTCTTCTCAGGATCATAAAAGTTTGATTCTCGAGTAACACGCTCTACCTCCTTAAGTTGTCCAGTTTTTGCAGCTGCTTCAATGTACTTGAAGTGAATATCGGGATCTTCACTGCACAATGTCAGAATTACAAACCAAATTTTACACCAAAAAGGGGGGTATAAAGGAAATACAAAGCCAGTGAACCGAAGTCATGTTTGTTTACCTGGAGCTCAAATATGAACCCAAGAAAAAGTAGAGTCCTTCGTAAGACTTGAATTGCTCAAAGAGTCTAATACATGCATCCATTCCCAGCTGCTCAGAATATTCCTTAGCAGTCTGCAAATTGCACATTCGCATAACAAGTCAGCCTACAATAATTTCATCTATTAAAAAAGCCATGTCGTAATATTATGTGATGCCCTAAGACAGTACCTGCACAATTATTTGAAGATTAGCCCTCAGATTCACCAGCAGCAGATCTTTCATGCACTCAAGCGCCCATTCTCTAGAAAGGGTCCCAAAGAACTCAACTAGAGCCTGAAAAGTACTGCATGGTTAGAAGGGGAAAAAATAGGACAACCTGAGCCATTTCAGCAATTAGAATCCAGACCTGTGGCTCAATGGCATGAGTATTGACAATTACACGTTTGATGTCAGGTAACTCCGTATAATGCTGCACAAGACATACTATAAGTTTTCGAGAATGATGCAGACAAACAAATCACTGTAAGAGCCAGAAGCAAAGAAGACAATAACCTGAAGAGCACGTATAAAAAGGCCCGCCTTTTCACATAACTGTGCGATACGTGGGCGATCATAATGACTGAACATGCCATTGGCCAAGATGGCATCAGCAACATTTGGAAATGTCACAAGATTAATTTCCAGCACCTAAACAGAATGGACAAAATGATAAAGAAACCATATAGCATCATAGATTTCAGGAAAGAGAAACGGATGTCTAAAATTTAAGGACCTTTGTTTGAAGATGACCATGTTCAGGTAGATTAGGCTTCAGCACATCCAACAGAAATGCAGTTGCCTCACGAATTAAATTTCTCTGAAAAGAAATAGAAGAACATATCATTGATGAAGTTGGGTCAAAGTTTCTCGAACAAAGGTACAATGGAAACAAAAAAGCTTCATTGATTCTTGCCTTTACCAATAGACATAGTTCTCAAATTTAGAGTAGATAGAAAATATCTAAGCCCAGCCAAGAAAATAATCAAAAATCAATATCTAACCATGTGTTAAAGTATTTTATAAGTCTTTCAAATTTATTGAATTTTAATTAAATGGGAAATACAGTTATTTAATTGTCAACAGATCATCTTTTCCTAAATTCCTTGTGTATGATTTTCAATGCAAAAATGGCTCAAGTACCAGCAGCTCTTTTGAAAAATAAATAGATAAATAAAAAGAACATGATTTCAGAAAAGGGACCAAGAAAATGTTGTATACGACATTGACATTTAAAAAAAAAAAATACGAATTGTATAATAGCAACCCCATTAAAACAATAAAGGTGAATTCTAAGTGAACCTGAAGAAAGAGATCTGTTATTGTGTTGTAGTCAACTGGACAACCTCCGTCCATTTGAGACATCATCAAAGCGAAATTAACAGCACCCTGCCAGCAAGCAAGATTTGAATCATTCTACATGAAAAAATTCAACAATTTCTAAAAGGCAAAAGCTTTTTAGAGGAGGCAAGCAAAATTAAAAAAAAAATACGGAAAGGCAAACATCATAAACAAGAACGTCCAATTTCAATTTGTAGCATTAACTGTCCTTCATGATTGGTATTAAGCAGGTTTCACTGTAACAGAAATTAAGTGCACCACAAAAGTAACATATCTCACAGAACATGCTACATAATAGCTTCAAATATTTGCATTTAAAGAAACTGCTTACCTGGGGATCTGCCCGTAAAATTGTTTGAAGAAGGAACAAGTAATCAGGTGTATATCCAACCTTCAGCAAATCAAAAGAGAAGAATGCATCAGTCGCTTGTAACAAAACATATTACTAAGCTATGTAAAACTCCAGATAAAATTATAAGCAGCGCCATTATATTTATAATTAATGTAAAACCTACGTTACAAAATATTCTATCACCTGCTTTGAATATATCAGAATCTTGTCAAATTCTTTCCTCTCAGCAAAAGCAGCAACAACTTTTGGTGTGGCTCTGGCTTTAATATATATTTTCAATGCAAGATCATTGTCCACAGTCTGCATCATAATGCATGTCTCACAAGATCAGGAATACAAGTGAAAAGAAGTGCAAACAATAAAATAATGAACGAAGTGTTGCCCCAAAGGGAATTAATAATAGTAGTGAAATAATAAGTACATAAATACATCTGTACTCGCATACATGGGAAGAAAACAAATTTTGACTTCCAAATATACAAAACAAAAGGACAGATGAAGAATAAACTAGTTTTTGAACCCAGTTTCAGAAGCCTCTAAAAGGCACACAGCCAGTTATCTGATTTCAGAATTGTCCATGTTAAAAATAATGTTGCCCTTATTGGGCCTTGACTCTCCAACTAGGCCTGCCTCAGAGTGCAAGCAAATTCTCTCTTTGATATTGATATACAGAAATGTAAATCTAAAAATAAAATAATCACTGCTTTTTATTTCACAGGAGTTATTATAAATTAAAGTAGATAGCACGAGGCATTACTAAAAAATGAAACAGAAGATTGCAATTAAGCAAAGTCAAAATATATGCAGGGCATGCGTAATTTAATATTTTTTACAAAATAAAATGAACAAAACAGAACTCAAACCGGGGTTCTCCTGATAAAGTAATGCAGACATTAAAATCCTTCAAAGTAAATTCACCATCAGAATATGGTACCCATAGGGGCTGCATTTTCCTTCTCAAACCATCAACAGAATCAAATTAGCGAGTACATATGATAAGGAGAGAACTAATTCAAATTTCTACAGACCTTCACAAGGTCACCAAGTTCCTCGCTGCATTCAAGTTTGTCCTCTGCTAACCAATTTTCCAGAAGATTTTTTTTGTTCTGGTTTACCACAAGCCTTGACAGCTCCAAGGATTCAAAAACATTGAGCGTTCCCCTCGTTAAAAGAGTTCCAAAGTACTGTAATAATGGTGGTGTTTGGCCAGCTTGCACGGGCACACTCTGCAACAAGTTATCAACTTAAGCAATCAAGGAATCAATGGAACAGCAAATTAAGCACCCTATCACAATTTGAAGAAGGACACTCTGATCTATACGTAGATGTACTGCTTGGTCACCAAGTGTAAATCAAAAGCTTACCTGAAATTTAGCAACAGTTTCAGGAGTACGAAGTATTCCTTGTGGAGATTCTGCAGCAAGCTCTGCAGCTTCCTTATACTTGGTTTGAGCAAATAATTCCTGAAAGCGCTGAACAACCTGAGAAAAGACAAAAGCTTCATCATCACCCAGTGAAGGATATGTTCCTGAAATAAATGAAAAGGGCATAATTCCTGCGGATGAAATGGACTGGGGAAGAATGGGTAGCCAAGGTAAATTGCACGAGATATAAACAATGAGAATTTTCTGCTGGTTCAAACTTTAAAATAGAAAAGCATAAAAATCAGGTTCTAATACGATGTTCACCAATATTACGCTACTTTACATACGCTTTAACCAAGGTTTTCCCAAAAGTAACATTAAGCCCGCAATCTGCATGGTGTAAATTATGGTCTTTTTGTCAAAGTAAAACCATCTCCCCGACCAAACGTATCATACAAATGTTAATAAATCTCTTGCAATTTTATGGTTGATATTACTGATTAATTTTTTTTCTAACACCCTGAAATTGCGTCTTGGACCATTGCAATCTAATAAGACACATAGGATGCAAACAAATAAAATAAAAATTAAATGACCAAAATACTCGTCACATATAAAACTGTAGAGTTAGTCAAATTAGAGATAAGTGAGTGTATAACGGAACAACATTAACCAAATAAAACTACAAAGTTACCAGGTCTTCTGCACCAGGAAGGTTTCCTCTTTTTGCAAGATTAACAGCAAGTTCCAAATTGTTCAACTGCAAAAGTTTCGCATAGACATTCAGTAACAGGTTCCAAAAATTAATTCCTCCCTTGCTAAAATCAAAACATGGCTCATAAAATACCTGGCCACTAACAAACGGTATAATGGTTGCTTCATTTACAGTGGCAAGCAACACCTGACCACGTCTATTGATGGCATAAAAGCCCCCTGATAATGATGCTTCTGTAGTCAAAAATATAGGATCAGGACTGATCCGGTTTCTATAAACTGCCGTAGCGGTCTCCAAATCATAGACAAATAGAAGTCCAAGCTTTGTGATGGCATATATCAATCCATATTTATTTGAAATCTGTGCAATAAAAATGAATCAAATGCTTAACATAGTGCCCATCGGAATTCAAAATATCAATTGAGGGTTACAACCTGCATTGACACAGGAAAGTCATCAGCAAAGTCTGGAGGGAAGAACAGATCCGCTTGTTTCTTAGTGAAGGATGGTTTGCCTGATTACAATTGCCACAAAATACCAAAAGGGCATCAGCAAAAGCACAAGTTCTTCAGAAAAGCATTAACTTAGAATAGTTCAGAGGAGTTCTAAGTAGATTCATATGCTTATAGCATCAAAAGGCGCAAACCAACAATCAATCAATCATAAATATAAAAGACAAAAGCCTAGCATGCCTGTAGAAAATATAAATAATGACATTACTGATAAAGACATCATTCAGATCCCTGTTTTCCAACAATAACATCTGTCTCTCTATTTTGCATTTTAACTTGATGATGTTGAAGATGTTTCTAAATTTCCACCACTTTATATGCCAATGCCCCACACCCCCACCATGGTGCAATCTTTCATTTTATTAATAACATTGACAATTTAAAAAGCCAGTACACATAGAAGGTTATATCCTTAAAATACATGATAGGTTACTACATCTTATTTTGTGGTTAATGCAAATATAATGGGCATGTATCTATGGCTAGTATAACAAGTCTATACCAATACCACACACACCTGGCTGAGCACCAAGTTCGATAACATGCATCTTTGATGTGACCTGTCCTGCATTGATAGTCTTTGATGCGAAAGTAATAAGAGTTGAGTCCTTATCATTCCCTGGCACCTGGATGTTGCATCAAGTAATATATCATAGGACTAAATTGACGGCAAAACTATTAAGCACAACATTCAAAATCCATATAAATGAATCAGAAAGAAGGAAGCATTACCCTAAACGTGGCAAAAGATGCAGCATGTGCTTCAAGGGCCTGACTACGTTGCTGTTCCACAGAGAACAGTTGCATGTTTCCTTTTACTAGCTGTGGTCTCTACAGCCCACAAAATGAAATATCATTATTAAAACAATTAATAAGTACATAAAGTTTGACCCTCAGGCTCTCATAAGGTAACAAAATTTCAGGAGCTTGTAGCTAATAGCAATTAATAAAAGAGAACCATTTTCAGCCATAACACATAAATAGGAAAATAACGGTAACCCTTTGTACAAATAGTAAAGAATCCCTCTAAAACCAATAGCTGCAGTCCAGAAGTACCAAAAAAATAGAAACAATGAAAAACCATCTTAAAAAAAAAAATTGAAGTACAAACTAGATAAAGAGTTGAGTTCAGAAATACAAATAGGAAAGGCTCAGGTAAATACAAGCAGGAGGCCTAAGAAGCTATCGTTTCTCAATAAAGAAAGATCTTGTAAATTTATTTTATGTCGAAAACAAGTTTGAAGAGTGAATATCTTAAAAATGTACAAGCCAATATGTGTATATATGTGCATCCTGACATTAATGTTCAAGTTGATTCATAAGATGATAAAATAGTAACAGAAGCATCAAAATGGGATATATCTTTGGGTGAATTAAAAATTTATTTCCTGAAGTATAAGCTGCTCCTTATGTTTCTTTTTATTTATCATTTCATGTAGATTAAAAAATGTCACTAATATGCTAAAAATTGCCCATACCTTAGAAGCTAAAGGAAAGAAATAAAATACCTCAGGTGATCCTGGAGCAATTCCAATCAAAACTAGCCACTTTTGACTAGGATCAGCACGATAATTGATAATTTGATTATTGGCCAGTGTAGCTGTTCGGTCAAACATCTTCATTGGCTGACTATCACCTAGATATGAATAATGGTAAAACTCGTGTTCAGAATTCAAAAGGAAAACGCAACACAAAGCATGAATATAAGTGAAACCATCAACATCAGCCAAAGTTACAATAAACAAGAGGCAATAGAACAAACGGTTTACTCATGAGAAATTAAAGCATATTACCTTCAATAGACCAATGATAAACAGAGGTATGAGTAACTAAACCTAGCACCTTTGGGGATATCCACTTCCAAAAGACAACCTGAAGAGAATAGTGCGTGATAATTAACAATCACAACTATTGACCCACACATAATCCCAAAAAGCATTCTTGCAAGGGCACATAAGAATCATATGCAAAAACGCACCTGCTCAGTCATCTGATGTGATTTTATCTTTGCCTTCATTTCTATGTTAAACACTTGCAAATGATCCTGAGTGGTCCCCGGAACTAGAGCTGCAGATAAAATGTCGCGCTCAAGAGGTAAATGAAAGCTATGTGTATACATGCTAAAGTTAAAGACGAGATTATTTCAACATGAAATGAACCACAATGTTGACGCCGTCACTATCAAGAGATGAACGACTTGTAAATTGGGCTGTCGCTATCAAAAATGACATGAAAAAACAATGTTGACCATGTCACTATCAAGAGATGCATGACTAGTGGATTGGGCTGTTGCTACCCTTTTCCTCTGGCGTGAACGATGAGAACAAACAATAGATAGGATAAAATTAGGAAGTGATAACACAAACCAAGACCTCTACACTTACCTTTGAGGGCAAGAATCCTAGTATTAGGGTTCATCAAAGCAGAATCAGCAGTAATGGGCCGTCGCAAAGGCTGCATGGGCATATTCATATCGATTATAACAATACTGTTCTGAGGTGATGTTTCCCTCACACATATGTATTTATCCGATTCCATTGTCACGTGATTAAACGTAATGAATTGCGAATTTATTCCAATGCTTGGCAACTGCAAATTAAAAGAGCACAACATAAATCAAATAACAGCATACTGAACAACCCCTCGTCGTATAACCAATAAACAAAGACAAGACTGAAAAGAATGAAACGCTACAATCGGCAATTTCTAAACAAAAACCAGAAATGATAAGTGGCATTAGGATCTGAAGACAGGGAAAAAGCATATTGAGGGAGAAACAAAATCACATAAAAGTTCGATGAAAAAATAATCCAATTGTGGCAATGGCATTGCCAATAGGAGCAGAGATGGAAAAGAAAACAAACCGTTAAGGCCTCTTTCATGGCGATGGGAGCATTTGCTGCCATGGTGTTAGGATCAAATCAGAGCTCCAGGTAGAGGGAATAGAATGAGAGGGAAATATCGTAAAGGAACGAAGACCTTCGTTTACGCTGCGAGATCTGAAGCAGCGAAGTCCAGAACGGAGAAAGGGAGAGGGAGAAGGAAGGGGAGTGAAAGGACGACAAGTCGACAACAGAAACTCGTGGCAGCATGGGAAAGCGGAATACCCCTTGGAGCGTTTTAGTTTTTTTGGGTTTTTTCCCGCAATAAAATATGCTCGTTGTCAGAATTCGTTTCTCTCTGTTTTTTTTTTTTTTGACACCAGTCAGAATCCCTTTCTATTATATTTTTCTGGGGACATTATTTTTTAAGAAAAATGATAAAAAAATAATTTCAAAATTCTCAAATAGTTATTTTAATCAGTAAAATTTCAGCTTAGATATAAGTGGCCAAATTTAGATTTGTAAATTTATTAAAATGATTATTGTTCTTTATTTTGAAAAAAAAAAGTCATACACACTCCCCCGCCAGCCGATCACTGGAACTCCAGTGTTGATAAATGTTGTCAAAGTTCAGGTAGGCCGTCATTATCAGAGCTCTAGTGGGTGACCGACAACTGGTTGTTGAAGCTCTGGCAGCTGACATCTTTTTTTTTTTTTATAGATTTTTTTTCAAATTTAGTAATACAAATAACATATTCTTTAATACTATTAACAAGTTCGGTATAGTAGTTAACAACAAATTCAGAAAATTCAAAATGTGACATTTTTATAATTTTAGTAACGCATTTAACAAATTTCGTAATACTATTAACAAATTCGATATAGCAATTAATAACAAGTTTTTTAGAAAATTCAAAAAATAATATTTTTACAATTTGAGTAACACGATTAACAAGTCATGTAATAACATTAACAATTCTCATAGTACTATTAACGACTCTAATAACAAGTCATATAGTGATAGTAATAACTTTTTTAACATTATGAGAGTTGTTAATGTCGTTATATAACTTGTTAACCAAATTACTAAAGTTGGAAAAATGTTACTTTTTGAATTTCTGAAAAACCTGTTGTTAATTGCTATAAAAAAAATGTTAATAACATTAAGAACTCATCAATCGTATTACTGGATTTGAAAAAATCTCAAAAAAAAAAAGTTTCTTATCATCAAAACTCCAGTGACTGGTTTTCAAAACTCTGGTGACTAGCGGTCTATCTGACTCTACTAGCCAGTCGATGAGGGTGTTTGGTTTTTTTTTTTTTCCAAATAAAGGACGATGTGATCATTTTAACAAATTTACAAATTTCAATTTTGTCACCTACTCCCAAATTGGAATTTTGCTTATTTAAGTGACCATTTGGGATTTTATTATTTAACTATCCTTTTTTTTGTCTTTTTTCCTTTTTTTTAAAGCATAATTGTATTGGATTACAGGATAAAATAAGCCCAAAGTTTTTAAACTACTGGGCTGGGCCTTCACGTTAAAAGAAAGCCAATCAGGCTGATTGGGCTACCCAGGGTCTGTACCTGTAACCAATAACCTGTCCAAAGGTATGACGGTAATTCCATATGCCACCTAAGGTATTACTACCTCCGGTCTTTAATATAAGACCCCATTTAGTTTTTATTTTGGTTCTAAATATAAGATCTCAATCCACTTTATCTCTCATATTTATATATTTTTTTTAAAGTAACCCTTCTAATAATGATAGTTTTAGTCAATACACTTGATTAGCAAGGATATTTTAGGAAAGACAACACCTATTTAGGACAAATAACTAACTCAACTTACTTCCTTAATCTTTTCAAATTAGTCAATTGGCTCTTATAATTAGGACCGGAGGTAGTACCTTCTATTCTTGATATAACAGCTTGTTTGATATTCAATTTTATTATAAATATAAAACTTCAATCCACTTTGTCTTTCTTTTTTTTTCTTCCATAGTAGTTCTTATAGTGGTTGTATATGTTAAAGGTTCTCTCAAATGGCAATTCTAGCTAATATATATGATTAGAAAATGGTATTTTATTGAATACAATACTTATCTATTATAAGTAATTAACTTAACTAATTTTTTTAAATTAGTTAACTAAGTCTTATATTAAAAACTAAAAGTTTTTTTCCTTTGACCGGGGGCCAGCTAATTTATAAAAGCGAGAATCACAATTAAATCCCAATTAAAAAATAATTACTCAAAAATTCTTATAATAACCTAAGTAGCCTATAATGATATTGACAAGTTTCATAGTAGAGAATTACAATATTTGAGACCTATTTTATTTTATTTTTTTCCTTTTTTTAGACTTCATTATAATTTTCTTTTTATAAAATCTTCACCCATATCAGGAGACATTACACAACATAAAAAATAAAAATAAAAAATTGCCTGCACAATGTAAAATTTGCACTGAGGAGTCATCAACATTTTGACTCACGCATCAAATTACGTGCATTGTGCTGATTTTTTTTTTTTTTTTTGCCATAGCATGATACCATATGTAGTTACTCGTAATTCTACTTTGTACGCGTTTGATCATGTGACTGAAAGTGGATCGAGAAAATAAAAGGTAAAAAGAAACATCATTTTGGAAAGGGGAAAAAAAAAAAACCGTAGATATCAAATAAGCTTTGTCATGTGTCCTGTACGATTATTCCGGGGCAAGTAGCCAAGCCCTCGGTTCGAGGTAAATAATGATCACGATATCATTGTATTGCCATGCATGCCAGATCCTTCTCTTGTCTTGCTATATAATTTAATTTAAAAAAAAATTAGAATAAATTTCTCGTTAAACATTTAATTAATAAATAAGGCTTAAAGACTTTGTGTAACTTAATTTTTATTATGTGCAGTTTAACTTTTTTTTTTGTGTGCAATTTCTCTTTTCTTATGTGTAATAATCTTTCATTATGTGATGTGCAGCTTAACTTCCCTCTATACAAATAAAATTCTCTCATGTGCAAGTCATCTCTCTTATATACAAATCAATCTCCTGTATCCAAATGGTTTTATGCCAATCATCTTTCTTTTGTGCAACTTATTTTCTTTTGTGTGTAACCAATCTTCCTTTATGTAATCAGTCATCTTAAGAAACATTTGCTAATTAAATTTATAACGAAAAATTCATCCCTAATTTTCTTTTTAATTTAATTTAGTAAATATTATTTTTATTCTAAATATAAGATTTAGTCCATACTAGATCTTATATTATTTATTTCTGATGCTAATTATAAGATCTTATTTATAAATTATAAATAAGATATAATAATTAGCACCAGAGGTCGTAAAAGCTAGTAAAATACCGATGTTACTCTTTTATGTATGAATGGAATTTACGAGATAATTAGTCACGTGGCCATATTTGAATGAGTATTCCTATTTCCCGTCCGCCCCCCTCATGGATACGGTCCGAAAATTCGTTGATTTGTTAAAAGAACGACCGGTTCGAGTCTTAATCGGGTAGCTTCAAGTGAGTTCCTTTTGTTTCTAGAGAACCTGCGCGGGCCTCCAGATATTCAGCACTTAATAAAAAGTAAAACTATACCGGCATCATCAGCTATGATGTTCTAGAAACAACCCGATTAACCGACCAATTACATATTTCTAACTTGCTTGAAAACAACACATTTATCTTCGCGATTAAAGGGAATTTTCTCCCCCCAATTGTGCCAACCACACACCTGTCCAATATTCTGCCCTTCCATATTTTTAATGGCCCTATAAAATTATTATTTCATATAATTATTTGGAGTTGTTTGATATAAATATTTTTATATAAGTTGAGATAAAACTGTTACTTACAACTTTTGAAAACTTCAATATTCCAAACAAGTCATACGCCATGAAAATAATCGGAGCAATACATAAGCCATTATAACCACATAATTGTCTGATACAAAAAATTCCAGCCAACAAATATCAATCTAAGTACTCTTCCGGTTCTAAATATAAGACTATTGTACAGTATGTATAAGAGTCTTATATTTACTGTACAAGGATTTTATATTTAAGACCGGAGGAGTAATTAATAAGAATTTTGTTCATACTATAGAAATAAACATTGAGAATTAATACTAGTCTTATATATGAGACATATTTAATATTTCACATATTCATTAATTTCATTTTAAATTAACCTTATCGATAGTAATTAATTTTCTCAATAATAATTAAATAGGAAAAGGAGAGAGAAAATTAAAAAAACTAATTATAGTGTTTTTAAAAAAGACATATCATACTGGTTTAATTAATATTTTTAATCTATTCAAATTAGTTATTTAAGTCTTATAATAATATCAGAAGAGTATTATTGTAGAGTTGTAGAGCTGATCGAGAATCCATAATTCATAAAGACTTCTGCAAAAACTTAAGTTCATAACAATGCACTGGCCTCGCTGAACTCTTGAAAACCAGAACTCACTTATAAACGGTCATTGGATCTGCAGTGACACAAAAGAAGAACAGAAAGCAGGAGGCACGCCTCTTGTCCTACACGATTCATCCGTTATGTTGTTCCTTTTCCAGTGCCAAGTGCCGCGTTCCATGCACAATCCCCACATCTTCATATGTTATGTTACACGACTTGTCACATATCTTTTTCTTAAACATAATAATAATAGTATTATTATTAAACTTGTTTAATCTCATATCTATTAATAAGAATATTATTATTATCACTGTTTGTCAACGCCTAATCATTTGATTCTTTATCTTTACCTACTACTACAGAAACACCACAAAAATTATTCCAAGCAGAGACAGCATCAGTGAACACGCCATCACCCTTCAGTTTGCTTAGCTAATACCGCACACCAACAACACCCGACTGTTGCACCGGATCCGGATGGGACGTTTGCCCCTTCACGTGTTTTTGGCCTTTTTGTTTCTGTGATGGCCGGTTGCTCCTCCCAAATCCGCCTCTTCTCAATGGTCTACTCCTCTTATCTCTTTTGATATTAATCTTATTCTTGTTCTTCTTTTTCTTTTTTTTTGGGGGGGGGGGATAACGTGTCTTGTTCCTCTTAAAAGTACTGGATCGCTGGCACACACATCAAACTCAGGTCAAACTTTTATTCCACAGTAAAGATTAATAACTTAGTAGTGTAAAAATTTTCGTACAGGTAATAGACTGCGAGTTCAATCCCATCTAAAAGTTATCCATCAGTATTTGATCCTCTTGACAAAAAGAATTGAAATCAGAGAAGTTAATTTATAATTGGTTAAATGGTTGTATGATGTCATATGGACTTCCCAGTTATCCGCCCTTTCTTTTGGCATTGTTATCATTTTTGCTTCAATTTTAGCTTTAGCTTTATATATGGGCCGCAACAACCTCCCCCCCCCCCTGACGAAACATAATTACCCGCATTTTCTTGGCACGTGTTCAAGAAAAAAAAAACGGGTAGAAGATAAATATGTGGAGAAAATAACAGAGTTGAATTTATTAAGGGTAAGGAATTGAAGTAACACGATTTGAGTAGTACACAACGCAAGCTGTGAACAATGCTTATCATTACTTTTATCCGTCAGCACTAAATGTAGATCTACATTTTCTGATATATATTCATGAGGACAGCTCCGACCAGCTAAATTGCTTCTTTCTTTCCCTTCCCTGTGATCACACCGCCACCCCAACAACCACCACTTGCCGTCCGATTCCCATTTTCCCGGATTTGCCCTTCCCACATCATCCAAATATTCCCGACTTGTCCCTACCTTCATTTCCTCTTCTGCCCCAGTCCCATGCCGATATTCCGAATTTGTCCCTTCCTCGTCCCCACCCCCACTTCCGCCATCCCCTGTTTCCACTGCTGTATATTCTGCGTCTGATGTCGATCCTCTCACCGCCACCCAATCTTCTGTTTCCCAATCTGCCCTCACTGTTGTGGCTAATTTGCGGATTCTTTCCTTAGCTGAAGCTTCAGCATTGTGATCGAATATTATTTCCTCTTCTTCATCTTCTTCGGTGAATTCTAAGTTGTTCCAGTCAAGAATGCACCGAGGAGACGACTCGACTGGCTTATTGGGGGACGCAGATGACAAAAATGGGTGCTGCAGCAGCTGATCGCAGCTCCACCGCTGTTTAGGTTCCCTCCTCAGGCACTTCTTGAGGAAATCCCGCCCGAGCTCTGACAATTGACCCGGCAATTCGGGCAAGTCATCGGAGTATCCGATTCGACTAAGGGTGTCGCCGCCGTGATCTTCCCACCCCGGCTTCCCGTTGACCATTTCGATCACCGTGCATCCCAAGGACCACACGTCGGATTCTGGCCCCTGATACTCCCGTCGGATCACCTCCGGAGCCATCCAAAGCGGGCTTCCCCGTGGTAGAACCGCAGACGAGCACACTTCACCTGAAAACTCGACCGCTGAACCGAAATCGGCGAGCTTCGCGACGCAGCCTTTAGGCCCCAACAGAACGTTCCTCCCCTTGACGTCGCAGTGCACGACGCCCTTGGAGTGGACGTTCCTCAGCGCGTTCACCAGGCACCATGTATAGTACCTCACCAACTCCTCATCCACGTCAGCATTCCGAGACGCCAGGTCAGCGAGGGTGCCACCCGGCATATACTCCATGTGCAAATTCCGACACGATGTCGTGAAGTCATCCCCGAGAAACTCCACCACGTAAGGCGACGGCGAAACCCGCCGGAGAATCCGAATCTCATTCTCCAAAGCCTTCGCCTGAGCCGAAAGAGCCATGTTGAGATCGACCGATTTCACCGCAAAGACCCGACCGTCCCATCTGTCAATCCCAACACTGACGGTGCCAAACGCTCCCTTACCGATACAATTCCCTCTCACCCAAGAAGTCATCGCAGAAACTGAGCTCAACTTCGCGTACTCAAATTGGTGTGTGCTATGTTTTCTTGAGGGACCAACTGGCAAACAAGGTGTATATATACACATAAACACAAGAGCGTGTTGGGTCGTACACTCGGTGTTAGACTTGTGCTTTTTTTTAAATTCTTTCCGAATCCAGCGTGGAATTTGAAATACGGATAATAACGATAATAATAAAAGGAAAAGAAAAGGGGTGAGGGAGTTGAGGCAGGGAGACATGAGGCTAGGAAGTGTCCCGAGGGGTAATGTTTCCTGACGTAAACGGAGGACGATGGGCAGTGGGTTTTCTTTCTCTCTTTTGTTTTTAATGTTAATCCTTATCCATAAGATTTAAAATAGGGTGGAATCACAACCGTACAACCAAGAGTTTTGGTATTTTCTTGTCGTGTTGTAGAGAATGATAATTTAATTTTAACATGTGGCGCCAGGGCGTAACGCTGGTCTCTTTGGTTGGAGAGGGTTGGGTGTAATTGCTGGCCAAGAGATGGTAGTAAATTGGGAGTGGCAACGTGGCTGGAAACTGTTGGTCCACGTAGGAGGGAGGAAGGGGTAGAAATAAAGGCTAATAAAGAAGATGCGAAGTTGTCTGGATGCCACGATGCCAGTGTGTGGCTTTAGCGTCACGGAGTTTAGTTCGAGTGGAAGTCTATTGACGTGCACCACCAGCCTCCATAAGATACTACTCCTCCGGTCCTAATTATAAGACCCAATTGATTTATTTGAGGAGATTAAGGAAAGTAAGTTAGTTATTTATATAAATAAGTATTGTCATTCCTAAAATCCTACTAATAAGTATATTGGCTAAAACTATCATTATTAAAAGGATTATCTTGGAAAATGTATAAATATAAGAGACAAAATGGATTGGGTCTTATAATTAGGACTAAATAAAAAGTCAAATTGGTCTTATAATAAGGACCGGAGGAGTATAATATTATTATAAAAGAATATAAAATCGAAAAAATATTTTTTAAAAAAAATCGAGTTCTTTTTGGTAAGTCTCGGGAAAATTTGGACACACGATCGGGTCGTATCTTTTAAGACGACGAAGGACAGCCTTGTGGGATCTTCCTTTTGCAATTGTGTTAGGGCGGTGATATTATTGGTACAATTTCACACGCGCTTCTTCACTTCCTCATTAAGCATCTTGCATATTTGGCTTCTAATCCGGATAAGACTTACCCCAGTTTGGATTTGCCTAATTCCCACCCTAAAATTAATTACTCATATGTCACTAATTAATCACCGAACCCAAGTTGTAATCCATGGCACAATTCACCGAAAAGGCGATAACCACAGTATCTGACGTTTTCTTAAATTTTGTCGGGTACAAATCATGTGGGAGAATTAGATTATGTAACTGGGGACGGATAAATACAAACATTTGCTCCTAAAATTGATTAATTAAATTTAATTAGTGACGTGTAGGGAAACCGAGGCTTAGTGGGACGGAGAAGTGTTGTGGCGGAGACACGTGTTGGTTTGTGAGGAGAATTGGGTCGGGAATAAAAAACTAGATTTGTGTGGAGAGAGCATTACGGGTAGGGAAAGGGAAATGAAGGGGGGGATTGGCCACTACTTGAGCATGGGAAAAAAACAGGGGATCCGAATTTACTTACGAATTCAAAAAGGCAAGGAACTGGGAAGAGACGCAGCAAATTAAGTTTCCCGCACTTTGCCGAGAAACAGACAGGTGGCGGATTCTGAGGGCCACGCGTAACCAAACGAGGAGTGGGTTTCTTAGGGGAAACAACTTGGGTTTTGGATTGTTCTTCCCCACGAAGCAACACGAACAACATTTCCAGAACACGTTGGTTGTCCCTTCTCTAATGATGTGTTTGTACCGTGTTTGTTTCAAAACTTACAATATGAAAGGTGCTAATTACTCATTGGTGGAGCCATGGCTGGCTCTGGTTCTTGCTTGGATGTCCAATCGTGGATATGAAGGTGAAAGCCCACGTTGTGCTCTCTGACTTTTACCCCATTCCATGTATCTTTATTTAATGTTTGACGCGTCCTTTATTTTGTGTTCACATGGAAATGTTTTCTACAAGGTTCATGCACATCTAATACTCTATACCTGGCACCATGATTTGGAATACTCCTCCCGTCCTTAATATAGGACTCAATTGTTGAGTTGATTTTGATCCTAAATATAAGACTCATTTTTTATATTTACCAATTTTCTCTAAATTACCCCTATGCATACTCCCTCAACCATAATCAAGTAGAAAAGGGAGAAGGGTATTGAGAAAAATGATTATGGTATTTTGGAAAAAATGTGTCACGTTTCTTATAGTTAACTAACTTACCTAACTTCCCTAATCTAATCAAATTAGTTAAAAGGGTCTTATATTAAGGACTGGAGGAGTATTTTTTAACTTTCCCCAGTTTTCTTTGTACTCCGAGTTAAGGAAGAGTTTTGTGTGAACGCAAAATAAATAAATAAACACACAAATGACATGGCGCATATTTTTGAGACTAAGGTCATGTTTGATACTTCTCATGAGGAAAAAAATAATAAGAAATATTAATATATATGAAAAGTTGTGTCATATTTTTAATATTGAGTCTGCCATGAGTGATTTTTAACGTGGTGACCGACACGTATAAAATATATATATTTTCCTATGTGGGAGATGTTCAATTGCCGAATGATTACAACTAACCGTGATTACATCATCATTAGGATTAGTTCTGCAACAGTAGAATCAGTGCTTAGCCAAATGAGCAGTGAGATTACAAAAGGAAGGATCAGGGAATTGAGAAAAGCAAGCATACAAGTGAAGATGAATATTTAAAAGAAATGAGAAGACTGGTGAATTATCTGGAAAAAAAAGAGGAATTATGATAATGAATAATAAAACAAATGAGTGGATTTAAAAAGGAGAGAGAAAAAAAAAAGAAAGATGTAAAATCTGAGTTGTTTCAGTGATAAATATCTGAAATATTCATTTCAATTCTTATGATTTCAACTAATACCACGTTTTTATGAAATTATAGGAATGTAAAAAAATCATGATTTGAAACTGTAGAGATTAAAATAAAATTAACCATACTATAAGAACTATTAATAATAGTAATTCTTATTAACTATACAAATTTTTTAAAAAATAAAAATAAAGAAGATGTAAATAACAGAGATACATGTGGTAGTGAAAAAGAAAGGGCGGGAAAGCAGGTAAGTGGCGTGAATGTTGCGGAGGATTGTGGCGGAAGAAGGAGACAAAAGAGGGAAAGAAGCAAAAGCCAGGCGAATGCGACCACAGCATTCCACCATTTTTGCCCAACATCCTCCCCTTTGTTTCCTTTCATGCATTCCTCGCCCTCATTGCATAATTTTATAACTGACATTCTTTTTTTTAAAAAAAATTATCATTAAAAAATTATGTATTAAGAATTTTAAATTCAAATCAAATTTTAAACATCTTATCACAGCAATAAGCACATGTTACCCATCCCTTATAATCATCTTCTTACTTTCTTGTGCGCCCTCTCTTTTTCTCTCTGTTTTTGTTTTTTCAGTTATCCCTCTTATCCTTTGGTTTGAGTTTGTGTAAATGTAAAACACGTTTTTGAAGGAATTAATTTTTCATTCAGGCCTTAACATGACTATTTTAGTCGGAGTCCAATGTAATTTTGAAAGAAAAAATAGTTTGTTAAAAAAAAATTTTAATATCGGATTCTAAATAATTTAAAGGTTTCAATTTTGAAATATCTATGATTTCAGTAGCTGATCACTCCATGCCGTAAATGCCCCTGGCTACATAATTAATAGCACCCTAATTCAATCAAAGTCGGATCATCTCCAATTATGACACCACATATACACTTGGATAAAATTAAAAGGAAAAAATAAATGAAATGAAATGAAAGGGCAAGGTTGCACAGAAAGTTTGATTTCTTAAATTCTACTCAGTACTCATAAGTTCATCGTTACAAACTCGGGACATGTCTGAAAACACATGTACCACTTCACCAAATGCATTCTGAGTGTGCTTTCAAACATGTTCTTAATGATTACATTTAGTTTATAATAATCATCCACTCAATTATGTCCCGAAGGGTGCCTAACTTGGTGATAATTTATAATTATAAAGGGTTGGCTGTTTTTTCAAAAAAGAATCCTTGATGATATACGTAAGCATCAATATATATACTGTCAATATAAAATGTAACATTGATAAAAAGTTGCATGATTCTACAACTCATTCTAAATCTAAATCCTGTACGCGAGAACACACACATATATATATATTTGGTTGTATTAAAATCCTAATTCGACAAATATTAATCACATGTCATGTTTTGTAATCTGCACAACAAAAATCATACATATGATGCATAAGATATATATGCTGCTATTATACATTGAGACGGAAAATGGGTTAAGTTAGACACGAGGATCATGAGTTGGCTCATTGATCATGTGTCAAATTAATTAATATAATCACTGGCAGTAGATGACCGTCAACAAAGAGCTTAGTCTTCCTATTTTAATGAAACTTAATTTGTTTAGCTAAGAAGAAAGGAATTAAAAAATAAACAAAGAAGACTTGAGTGAAAAATGAAGCCAATATCTAGATTGATGGATCTTGATGTCTTAAATTTTTTAATGGCACTCGCCAGCGTTCACAACACAATTGTGCTACGAATATAATATATATATATATATATATATATATTCGAATATCAATCAATATGCACAAAGGTAAAATCAGAAGAACAAGTGAACAACTCGCACGTGGATATTATAATAATGTACATAAAAAACTGGACAAATGGAGATATTCAAAATATGGCACAAAGATGCCAAGAAGCATGAATCACGCGAGGAGCATCTGGAAATCACATACCTGCAAACTCATTGGCCAAAGAATTGAAAAAACAAATTGAAGAAAGGAATCGAGGAAGGTGGATGGAGATTGATTGGGAACACGACGTAGGTACCAACAAGACGAAGGACACGGTACGAAGTTACGTAGAGTGCAGCTAGAACAGGAACATGATGATGAATATGTTATGGTTAGATGCATGAATGATACTACTGTTGTTGTTGATATTGTGTTTGATATTTTGTACAAGTGTGATGAAACATGTTGGGTGCTTCCGCGAAG